TGAATGTGAACTCTCATCGTAGTAGTTCAAATTTTGCCAAAAGTTTTGACGTTGAAAATTGTTACATATTATTTCACGTATCTAAGGACCATGTTGTTATTATTGAAGAATATACATTCCTTTCTATAATATTAAAAGCTCTATTTCTTTGTTATAAAATATGTAATATTTTCAATACATAATTATAGCAACAGAACCTAAAATAAAGATAGGGGTGAGGCGATAGCTTATTGTTTTCTTTTATTTATTTTTCTTTTTTACTATTTAAATATTGACGAAGACACGTCAGTGTCATTGAGGGGTCGTGGTGGCCATTGAGTGAGGACCACGTCAGTGTAACCACCCTCTGTTCAAATAATATGGATGTACAGTTGACACTACTTGATTGCGACGACCGGTATAAGATGGTCTCTCTTTTTGAGGAATATTTATTAAAGAAGGGGTCTTCATGAGTCATTTGATTTTGTAATATTAATGATAAAATGGTTGCAAGTGTGACAAAGAAATTTCGTGTCTCATTTGACTGTTTAAGGAACGATTTTTTTAATAATCGTGTTACTCTTTTTGTATTTTATTGTTATTGACAATTCAGCGGCAATTAAAATTTATTAAGCAAGGAAAACATATGCACATAGATATTACGCCACAAAGTTGAATCTACAAACTCAAACTTACCCAATATATATTTTCTACACAAAAACTATGTTTTCACTATCACAAGAGTAGTAATTTTCTTTTTTGTAACATTTAATTGAAAGGAGTATCCATAATAATGTGGGCGGAGTTTTGTATCAAATACATTCACATCACATGTAATTTACTTTGATTCATTAATAAGGAGTTTTAAAAAGAAAAAGGCTTGAACGTTTTACATTAAAATTGTATGTAATTATGTATTTTATAAGTGTACATATAATTATTTTGAAAATGCTGTGTTTAATATTGTAATAGGCTAGTTCGTTCTATGGATATGTAGATATATAAATAAAGTAATGCCGTTCTGTCGTAGTATCAAAATGAAATCACCAATTAGACAATTACTATAGCAGACTTTATATTTTGGAGTCTGTAATGATGCTTATGAATGAGAACATCTCACTGATATTGGTTGGATTAAGATTATAACACAATTACTAGCGAAAATGCTGATTTATAATGTAATTGTTAGATTCCTACCAATATTATAAATGTGATTATTTGTGACGATTTTTGCTGTGAAGGAAAAGTACTGAACCAATCACAACGAAGAAGAGATAAAATCTTTGGCCAGAATATCATATGGGTTACTTTTTATTCCAAAGACTCAGGTAAATCTGTTGGTTGTCCGCAAAACGATAAGCTGTTGTGTAGGACAGGCCTGGAGCAGAAGAAGAAACAGGCTAGGTCTTAATCAGTAAGAGCCTGGTCTCGCCCCCCATCCATAACAGGAGAAGTCATTCTAATATTCCCCGCTGCAAAAAGGGGGTGTAATAACATTACAATAACACAGTTTTCCCTTATAAGGTTTATTGTTATGAAGTTCGTATCTATTGTCTTATACGACGCACAGTTTCAGACCAGCTTTATATCAACGAAATCTTGAAAAAATAGTTACTTAATCTAACTGACCTTAAAACCTCATGCCAAGCGTCAAACTTTACAAGGAAAGGTTTACTTACATAAATATAGTATTTTTTGAAACAAACAGTTAACACTGGTATGCGTGTAGCATAGCACATCGGCACCATATGACAGGTGGCTGAGCAGATGCGTAAGGTCAAGGACACGGGTTCGGCGCCCGGACGATACGTTTTTATTGCATATTCGAAATAGTCATGTCCTTTGACTGTTATTTGTTTCTAGTAGTGGTTTTAGAACCACCACAGAAGGCCCAATATGGCTGATGTTCAGCGGGGGTTGCGGGTTCCCAGCTCAATAAATTACTGCGTCCCCAGCCCGGAACAAGAGATGTAAGAATGTGGCTTTTAGTCAGTAAAAAACTCGCTCCAATCAAGATGGCTGAAATCAATTCTGAAGAGATTTAAAAAAAATAAGACTAGAACATATACAATTTCCTCCCTCAGGGAATTAGTATTATGAAAATATTAGTATAATATGTATTTCGGAAGTCCTCAGTATGACTCAGTTGTTGAGAAATGAGAAGTCACGTAACAAGCATGTCAAATTCGAATTAATATAAACAAAAGAAAATTGACTTATGTTTTAACGTATTTCATCTTTAAATAGACACATTAAAATAAAGAGGTAAATAATTAAATCGTATTCTCTTCAAAATTCTATAGAAACCTATTAATAGAAATAATAAAGAGTACTTATTCACATAATTCGATACCACCCACGTTATTTAAAAGGGGCAACGTGACGTTATGTTCGCGGGAGGGTTCACGACACGTAATCGGGAAGGGGACGACCGATCAATGGTGAAATTGATTAACAAATAATTGTATTATCTACTCTGAAGTTTTATTACGTTTTATTTCGAGTGCCTGACTAGTGTTTTGTAGGTTAGAGTTGATAGGCTGGTCTTTATTGAATGCTTTCTGTAATTTGAACCGAAGGACCAAGTGTTTGCCTTTTGGTCTTTTGGTCCTTGAGTTACATTTGTGTATTTTTCAGCTGTTTTGTCAAAGTCTGAATACAAATTCAATAATGTGTAATGTTGTGTAAAATTCTAAAGGAAAAGGTCTTTCATAATACTCGACCCCAAGATTGAAAACTTTAACCTCTTATTTAGTAATCACACCAAAAAGAGATTGACCCAAAAAATACTCTATTTCTTCTCCAACATAAAGTCTAAACTCCCTAAACCTAAATCAGGCCGTATTTCTCGTCAACGTGACACCGTGAACACAAAGGATGTGCATACAATACATACATAGTATATATGTGTACATATACATGAGAATCAGCTGATTGAGTCGGTATCAAGTTGCCAACTTTGGTGGCGACCACCCATAGTGCAAGCTAAGGGTTATGTGTATGGGTTGCAAGCATGGTTGTGCATTTCAGTATATTAAAGGGTTCTTGTTAGTTAAGAAATTGAGTGGGAACCTTGATAAAAGTTCGGATTTTTAATGATTTTAAATTTAATTAGTTATAACTCTTGTTGGTATATCTGACTATAGTTGATATTTGGGTTGAAAATCGTTGGTCTTTTTAATATTGAAGATTTCTGTTTGCTGAGATACAAAGTTTGGAACTAAATTATTTGTTGATTTAACCTAAGGAATATCTAAAAATTTTCGACTCAATCAATAAATTCGCAAGTTAAGTAAAGTAAAATGTTTAATAACATTTTTAAAATGTTTCGAAGCCATAAAATGTTTAGAATAAATGATGCACAAAGAATTTCATACACCTAAAAAGAAACCTTATATTCACGAAATCACACCGATGCAATCAACCAAGCTGTCCACAAAAACAGCATCATATGGTCAGTAATTATTATCAGATTGGACAATTTTGACAAGAAGTTCTTGAATTGAGGGCAAAAAAGTTCTTAAAATGGAGACAATGAGTTCTTGCGAGTTTCACTTTTACGGATTCAGATTTGAAAGATGAAGTTTTGTGTGTGCAGCTTTGTTTTGCATATTAAAAATTATTATTTGAGTACTGTTTTGAGCAGGACAGACGATCATACAAGTGCAATTAAATTTACAAGTGTCGTCATTGAAATAGGTGATGTTTGATTTCAAGATTTCCCCTTAAAATACTTTTTTCATGACACGTGAGGTCGTATGATATCAAAAACCAGTGTTCAATTTAATCATTAGATTAAAAGAATAGTTCCTACATTACCTGCTAACAGATTAGTGTCAAAATGAAACGTAGAATGTAATTTTTAGGTAGTAATTAATTATCAACCAATCAACTTAATTGTTTGTAGATTATTTTTCATTATAAGTTGTTTATCTTGCTATCACTTGATTTTAGAGGCCAATGTCAAAATTTTATATTTGATAAGCAATCAAGGATATTGGAATGACAGTAGAAAGTTGTTGGTGTCGGGTGTAGTAGGATTATGTAGACCTGCTTGCCACCAATCGAAATAAACACAGCAAATACACAGCTTTTTTAAGCGTTTCCCCAATTATAAAAAATTTTGTTCTTGGAACTGTATAAGTCTTCGTTACTGAACTCATCAAAGGGCCTTTTGCCACTATATCTCCATAATTCGTAAGCATTATTATTTGATGTTTATTCTTTTAGGGCAGTTAGAGCTATACCCCCTTTTTCCAATTAATGGTGTTGGTCAAAGTCTAAGAAGTAGGTACCCACTTTCATCGACCCCAAAAAACTTGAAACCCTGTAATCAGCGTAAATAGACACGACCATCAAACGAAGCGTCAATTATTACTATTATAGTCCATATAAGACATGACAATGAATTCACTACACTCTTAATCAAAGATTGATGGAGTGACAATCAAGAAAGTTAACAATACAGCACACACCTTGCGACTTAGAATGTACCCAAAGCATTCACTTGTCAAAAATCACAATCGAACCCTTTCATAGAGAAATTTTTAATGCAAATTTTACCTGGTCCTTTTGGACTCGGAAGGACCAATAGGTCGGTCTTTTTGGTCCTTCGATCCGTTCCCAGGGGTTTAAAGCAAGGTGCTAAATATTTTTCTATGGGATCACAGAGCGTGTGCAATTTTTTTTTCTTGGTTTTCATTTTTGTCGGCTTTGTCTATGTGCGGTTAGAATTTAGATCGATTTCTTTAGGGTGGTCCTTATGGTATTTGATTAGAGATGTTTAATCATGTCGAAAATTACTTGTTTTTGTTTGCGGAATTGTGAGGTTTTTGAGAGGAAGTTCGATTTGGTTGTTTTTTTTTTGAGTGTATGGCGTTATGAATTTTGGTTGTTTGTTGAAAGTGTTTTTTGTCAGGATATGGCAGATTTTTTTTATGTGTAGTGATGATCCGCACGACTTGACGTTAAATTTGAAGTATTGACTTCTTTACTATTTTTTTATCAATTTTCTTTCTTAGATCCACATTAATCAACTAGCAACTTAAAACCAAAACAATTCTAATCAAATTGTAATTAAAAACAAAGTGAAGTGCAAAGAACAAAAACGCAGTGTTGCCAACCAAAAAAGTGATGCGTCCAAACAAATGCAAGAAATTCAAATTCAAATGATTCTTTATTGAGAATGGCCCTCAGGCATGACGTCACGAACATGGACACCTCATTCCTCCCCGCAGATCCTCCCCCGATCTCCGAAATCATTTACGAGCCAAGGACAGACTTAGCCACGGAGTATTTCAACACTTTCAACCAAATATGTGAAAATTATCGTAGTGATTCGGACGTGAACCTTCGGCAAACTTCGGACAGTCTTCGTTTATCTTCGGAGATACTAGATGGTGTGCGATCTGAGTATGTTAGTTCGGATTTTACTGGTAAAGACTTTGAAACCAATGCTCAGAAAGTGTTCTTGAGTGGAAAGGATGAGCAGATCTTTCAGTTTGGACAGCCTGACGCCTCGGCTCTGTTGAGGCATAGGGCTCGAAGAAGATATAATGAGGAGCATGGTCTGCAGCCACCAGCGACTACTAGTCAAGAGAGTGGGGTAAGTTTAATGGACTATCACTGTCCGATTAATTTGCAGGAGATTTTCAAGATGTTTAGCTCGCAGATTTCTTGTTTCCTATTATAATATATCTATACTAATATTATAAAGAGTAACCTTTGGAACCGCTGGTCGCATTTCCAAAATTCTTTCACTGATAGACAGATACAATGTTCCTGTCTGCTATAGGCTATAAAACATCATGCTACGATCTGTAAGGGACGAGCAGCGGGCGAAACCGCGCGAGAATAGCTAGTATTTTTTACGTTTCTAAATTTCTCATAAAACATTTTGAGTTTTGTCATTGGTAACTGATATTTCCTTGTGATGAATTAACATTGTTGATATGTTAATTTTAATATAAAATTTGAAAGTATTTTTTAGCCATAACTTATTGTAAACTAGAAATAATTAAAACAGGGACACAAATAACCAAGAGCCCAAATTATGATGTGATTTTATTAACATTTAACATAAAGAACATTAGTTAAAGAAACAATTACAACCATTGTTCCTAAAACAACTCACAGCGTCCGCTAAACATGAAAAAGTATCGTAAAATTGGCAACAACAAAACAACAAAAACTAAATATTATCGTCAAGTGAATAATTACTCCGCGTAGTGTACTTGTCTTCTCAAATCTTTCGTCAGTCGTTGCTCATAGCTTGCGTACTATCTTGGTTAGAATTAGATAATCCGACCCACGCTGTTTAAATTTAGGTACAGTCAATTATACCCGTCACAAACAGACAGACATACATAAATATACATATTAGCTTAGTTTCCCGTCAGCGTGTTATGAAGATGGTTATCCCGAAATGGCAGGGAATGCACTTGTAAGTCCTCGTGTATGTTGGTGGCTATGGGCGGCGCTGATTGCTTACCATCAGGTTATCAGTTTTGCAGTCTTAGTTGAGTTAGATGACTGCATAGTTGGCGCGATGGCTGGGCAACTGGCTACCTCTCTACGCACCTCTTTGTGGGATCCACAAATTGTTGTTCCGGGTCTGGGTGTGATGTGTATGTTAAATTGTATGTTTGTAAACGACACAGGAGAAAACCACAGTATAGGGCAACGTTTTCTTAAAAAAATGTTAAGTTGTTAGTCATACTACGAGGTTACCATGACAAATCTATTGCATATTTCCAATCAAAGATAAGATAAAGTGAGATATAAATAAATAACACTCGTATGTCGATCGTACAATGGTCCAAATTCTGTTATCAATGTTCTCAGTTACAACAGTTCCGTAAAAATCTTAATTTGGAAATTAATCTAAAAAAAGTCCATTAACAAAACACTTAAAATTAATACAGATTCGTTTTAAAATGGACGGTCTTCTTCAATACTTGCAATTGAGTTTGTAATACTATACTTTTCACGTCACTTTTGACATAGCTTAATGGATTCCTGTTATGTGATACTCGTCCGCCATTTTGTATCGACAATATAAATGTGTTTGGCGGGAAACATGTTCGAAAGTCGAATGTACAAAGGTGCATTGATGTCGTAGAAAAAAAACAGAAAAAAATTGGCATCTGCTTGTCTATGTGCGTAGATTAAAAAAATCGCTTGCAGCAAGATTTGTTCCTTAGAAACAGATAGGTCAATTTGAATTTTGATTTTCTCTTTCATTACTTAGCTAATTTAATAGTTGTTAAGTAGGTGTTATTTTCATTCGTTTGTTTGTAGTGTATCTTGCAGTTTTTACAACAAATTTTTAAGTATTATTATTTAAAATAATTAATTGCCTGGTTTTTTATTTAATGAGAAATATTTTAAGAGCGCTGTAATTTTTTCAAGGGACTTTAAAGAAAGGAATAGATAACAAAAAATGTAGATTTTTTTTCTGGGTTACGTCGGTAAACGAGCATACAGATACTTGTAAGTTGCCGGCTTTATGGAGTTACTAAAAGATGCCGATTTGAGGATATAAGAGCAAGCTTACCTTCACGCCGGTATTCTGTGATGCCGTAAATAAGTTTCCAAGTCATGTTCATCACTTTATTGATACTGATTTAAATAAATATATATAACAACTAGGTAATATCAAACAATTCTTAACATAAACATAGAGGTCGCAAACCGAATTATGTATAGGATGCGTCATCGCATATCTGCCGAGTGTACACGGAATCAGTTCCCTACTCTCTGGATTATAATGAAAAATGATTTCATATTTAATTATGACTTAGGGATCAGTATCTATATCATGTGTGAGCGGCAGTCATGAATCTGAATTAATAATTATATAAATAAAGCTGAAGTTTTGTTAACAAGCGTATCTTCAAACCTGCTGCTTCGAATTTAACAATAACTTGTGTTAGATAGTCCATTTATCGATGAAGGATATAGGCTATAAAACATCACGCTACGACCAATTGAAGCTGAGCAACGAGTGAGTTCTTACATATTATGAAACTTACATCTCGCCGCATCTGTTCATGATAAACTTGAAAATTACTCAACGGATTTTCATGAGACATTGCTCGATGTATGAACTATTAACGTAAAAATAATTTCTCAATTTGAACAATTAGTTCTGGAGATATGCGCGTTCAAACAAGCTCTTCAGCGATATTAATATTACAAGTTTAGATTTAGTCATTTATATTTTTTCAACTGCTATCTCCACTTGCTTATAACCTTTCCTTTATGAAGGTGGTTGGTAATCCAATACTGGATATCATCCCTAATAGTTAATTCATTCAATGATTGAAATCCGCGATGTTTCGTTGCCTCATCCAAGAGTTGTATCAGGGAACGCCCTGGGAACAAAGGTCCTAAGTTGACTCATCGTCGTCTCGACGCACCCATTTATTAATTAGTTTATTTTTAAATTATAAGCAGCCATGCTTGTAATGCGGATGTATGGGATTCGAGAGAATCCTGCGTGTGTTAAAGTTGTTTTATAGTATTTCATCTTAAAGTTTTTTTTAATATTTCAAGTGAACACTTTAAAATCCTGAATCTGAATCAACACATACATATGAACAATTTGTTTGGTGGTTTTTAGACAACCAGAGCCTGACACTTCACCCTGGGCGAGAAGCAATATAATAGGTACTTAAGACAATATGATAAATTTCAACAACACATGCACTATAAATAAGCAAAAAATATCTTGAATATCCATATAGAAATGTAATAAAACACCTCCCTTCGCTGGGAATGTGAAAGTACGGACAAGACGACACGTTCCAAGTCCTGCTAGCTTCTAATGGCTGTACTCCAGCATTCTTATTAAGCAGCAATGTATAATTAATTACACGAACAGTTAGCGCGGATCCAAGGACCTTTGGCAAACGGTACTTTTAAGACGCAAGCTGCGAATTATAGTTTAGTCACAGAAAAAATTGTTGAAATACATTTTTTAAGAAGAGTAACAGAACCAAACTTAACTCGACCGAGGGTAATACCATGACCTCATAGAAAAGTGATGCTAAACAATGGTTCCGTTGTCAGCTGCTGTAACTAAAGTCACTGAAGGCCCAATCGTCTCCCAACTCCTCTCCAATCCTCAAATCCCTGATAACAGTGACTGTGGTGTTGTGAGTGTCCATGCGCAGCGCCAATTGCTTAACATCAGGCGATCCGATTGCTCGTTGGTCGCAAATTCTAATAATATGTTATGAATGTCATTTCTTCACACATTATGCTTTTTTAAAACATTGTCTGGACTATAAAAGAGACGGACCTCTGGGTTTGTTTCGGCATTTCTTCTCAGAGTAGTCAGATAGGAAATGTCTTGAAGCTAAAAGTGCTGTTGTATGGCCTACTTGGGAATTTTAATTCATTGTTTAACGTTGTTTTTTTACTTATTATCAATCCAAACCTTCGTTGCGAGAATATAGTACCTCCTTGCTCAACAAAAATAAACAATTGTCATTTTGGCCATTTAACTAGACGACAGATTTCAACACCAGACAAATATGGTCTTCCAAAGACCTTAAGGAAAGGTTCCATTGTTGTGGAGACGGTTTAGGAGTAAGCCGATATGGTGATAAGCAGTTATGGGGTGAAACCTTAGTCCTTACTGGTATAGTTTAGTATAATTATGGCAAATACTGTTCGTATTTTAGCTAAATAACTGCAGTATCTGAGAAACTGTTTCTTAATTATTGCCAATTAGGCGCAAATATTAGGGGTCTTCTGTTATTTTCCACGGCCGAAAAGTGATTTTGAAGTTTTTTTTGTTTCATTGTTCTCTCAGTAATAGTACTCAGGTTATATAAGTGTCTGTCGCGGGCAGTTCTGGAATCTAAATAAAATATAGGAATACACATTTAAGTATTAGAGATCGAACGAATGGATCGGCTCGACCGGATCGGTACTATGACCTCATAGAAAACCGGCGCCACACAATGCCGTTTTGCCGTTCCCTCCCTAAACTTAAAATATCCGAAACTCTAATCCCCAAAAAACCGGCAACGCACTCGTAACCCCTTTAGTGTTGTGAACGTCTTAATGATTGCTTACCATCAGGTAACCCGGTCGTTTGCCTATCTCATAAAAAAACATAGGACACTTTTTCTTTATCTAACTGCAGGACTAAGCTGTTTTTCCTTTCTTTTCTAAACAACAATTGTCAATAATTCCAAAATCGTCGACAATAATCGCAACAATTACAAAGACTTTCTCATCTGTCGCAATTGGCTAAGATCGGGCGCGCACTCGCGACCTGTCCCTTTGTTAGTCGGTTATGGTGTTACAATTAGTGCGACCGGTATCACGCCAGGTGCGCAACTGTGCAACCAGACTTACTTGGAGATACTAAATATCTGGATAGACTACATACTTTCGGAATTGTTGTCAGCATTTTTTTAGATCTTTGAGATAGATGGTTATGCTCAAAGGTTGGATTGGAATTTCGATATTTAAAAATTGACGGTGATATAATATTTAAACCTTTTTTCATTTCCAGTTTTCTATTTCTGAATTTGAATTTAAAAATAGAATATATTATATACTATCTGCTCGCCCTTACTTCGCACGGGTCTCATCATCTCGCTTACGATGAAAGGGACCCTTATTACCCAAATCTCCCCTCTACTTTTGTAAAATTTTTCATATCTTTCGTAAGGACCTTCACCTGACAATAACATATTAACTATCTGTATACATTCAATATCACGGTAGCCTGGAGGTTAAGGCGGGTGCCTTACCATGCTTCCATTTACCATGTGACTTCCAAATTATACATACTATCTAGGGGAAACATCGTGAGGAAACCTTGACTTATAATTTCTTATTAAAGTTTGAAATCGCCAATGCGCCTTGAGCAAGCGTGGTGGTTATGCTCAAACCTCCGTGTGAGAAGAGGCCTTTGCTCAGCAGTGGGCATTTATAGGCTGATGATGCTGATGACGTGTACAAAGTATGTAGGTCTTATGAATTCCCAAATAAAAGGAATGACGCATTTTTGAATCATTTACTTCGGTTACGGTAGGTACTTTGAACACACTCGAATATTTATTACTAACATACAATTCAGAGAATTGAACCTATTAATAATATGATACCTCACCCTAAATTGCATTGTTATAAACTTAATATAAATTCTATATTAAGGGCCTTCTTCCTACAAACTGATGAGAACAATACATAGAATAAAAAAAACGGGGCGGTGAATTTTAATAGCTATTATTTAAAAATTGTGAAGGAGAGCAGAAAATTGTTATCCATTTGACATTAGAAGTTCCTAGCACTGATTAATAGACTAGTAGTGAATGTTATTATATACATGGTCATTTTCTACCGTCTTTTTTAAACATGTTCGTTGTCTCGAGAACTGACAGGAAACCCCATATGCGTCGGTCAAAAAACTACCAATTTTGGACTTAGAAAACTGTTTTCAGTTTGGTTTTTTATTCACTACTAGCTACTTTCACGCGTTTTCACCCGCTGCTTTGCTCCATTTGATCGTAGCGTGATGTTTTATTACCTGTAGCTCTCAGAAACATAGTAGCTATCTATCAGTGAAAGAATTTTGGCAATCCGAACAGCGGTTCCAAAGATTACCCCCTACGTACAAACTTACAAATTTTACCTCTTTATAATATAAGTATAGGTTTCCCTAACAGTTTAGCAGTTTCATAGCGTTCCAAATATAGGTTTCCAATAAACTGAATTAGTCATTTTATGTATATCGACTTATTTACTCCCGTTGCCTCGAATGACTAAGATCAAAATATTGTTCGTACATTAACAACAATAGCCTGATCTCATGGCGATCCTACTTTTAAGGCTAGATTTTGCAATTCATGCCTACTTTATACCTGGTTTTCGCTCTTAGCTTTGCCACTCAATAATAAAGTTTTCTAATCAAACGAGCACACGGATTACCTGATGATAAGCAAAGCGCGAGTGTCCATAGGCACCACCTATGGACTCTCAACGTCGGACAAGTTGCTTTGACGTTTTGGAGATTTAATGATTAGGTACACGTCATTTTTTTTGTAAGGCAGTGGTATCACTTCGGTCGACCGATTCGTGCCAAAACAGCGATTCCACAGCGATATTTGCGAAAATTAAGTGTTACATTAATATTTCCACATCCACCTTTGTCAAGGGTGCAGCGGGGTTTGCGGGTAAAACGTAATAAGGTGCCGCAGCCTCGGCCTGCAACAGGAAAAGAAACGGGGTGGGTTTTAGTCAGTAAGAGTCTGACTCTCCCTCTCGCCTCACCCCGGGAGAGAGAAGTTATTTGATGTTTCCCTCACAAAAAAAAACAATGGTTTATGTATCAAATACTAACTTATCCATACCTAACGTTCAGGAGACAGATCCTTATAAATTTTAAACAAAAGAAGCGTTTTGTTAAGCTAATCGACGTCTAGTGGTCAGCTGTCAAATTGTTAGACATGTCATAAATATTTAAAAATGGCGTCACATAAATGTTTTTTTTAATTTTTAATCTGTCGCCGCCTCACAGGTTGTCTGACAAGCTCGTGTTACATTTTAATGCATTTTTTAAACGTTATCTCGTCGTGATTAATGTTTTATTTATTGTTTTAGTGAATTTCAGTGACCTCTGTCAATAAACGTTCAAGGAAATAGGTAAATGGACTGTTTTAATTTATTGGAGAATAGTAACCATGGAGTTTCTTGCTCGGTCTTCTGCGGAAGAATTTTAGTCTTTAGAACGAACTATTAGCTTTCGTAAATGAACTGATGAATGAATGTCTTCCAGTTGTAGACCAAAGACCTACACAACTTGTGAGGATTTTCCGTATTAATCACCATGTTTGGTACTTGTCGTAAAAGACCAGGTTTATCAGAGAACTCTGCTACTCTGTTGCCATCAACGTGCAGTCCGGACTGAACATTGTTGACTGGAGGGTGAGCAGGAGTGGTAGAAAAATTAATACTATTTTGCTGTCATCACATTTATCTACATACATCTACTTACCTTAAGGGTTTCCGTCTATTTGTGTAATAGACCATAACATAATGGTCTTTTATAGAACCTATGTACTATCAGTAAACTAACGATATTTTTTCTGTCTTCCGCAGTACGGCAGCGATGAGTTCGGGCACGACTCCCCAAGCCGATATGCCTCCCCTAAGGGGGCCGGCGCTGGAGCCCCGTACCAGGAGTACTATGCGGGCGGTGAATGGAGTGCGCCGTACTACCAGCCGCCGCCGGCCTACCAGCACGACCCCTATGCTACGTCGCCAGGTAAGCTCAAAGTATTTGACTAGATTTTTTACACATTTCTAGACGACCTGTATTTTAAACATTTCTAGAAGAACTGATTGTGTAGGGTCTTTTTACGTCGGCAAACGAGCAGACAATTACCTGATGGTAAGCAATCGGCGCCACTCGTGGTTACCCGAAACACCATAGGAGGTTTTAAGCCTCGGGTTACCCAAAACGGTTATCTGTAAGGCCGTGATATCACTCCGGTTGAGCTGACCTATTTGTGACGAAGCTTGGCTCTCCGACACTTAGAGATTTGTAATATAAAGTAGACCAGGAATTCACTTCCAAGTTTATAACGAACACATTATTTTAGCACAATGCAGCCGATGATAACATATTTAAGCTGAAGTTCAATTAGCTTCGGAGTTTATATCTTAACGGAAAATATTATATGGCTATCTTAAGAACCTGTGGAATCGTCATTAGTTGGTCTTCAATGAGGTGGTCTGCTATATCAAGATTCTGTGAATCACATTTACCTGGTCTTTCATTCACAAGTTACACGTAAGCTGGTCTTTTACAACCGAGTGTCCTTCTACCTGGTCTTCTCCAGTCTTTTAAACCTTCTCTAACAATATCTCCCTCCGTGTTTCAGGTATAGCGGGTGCTCCGGTAGGCGAGGCGGGCGGCGGCGGGGCGGAGCTCCCTCTGCCTCCAATGTCCTCGTTCAGGGCGGCTGCGCCCCACCACTCGCCCACAGACCCCATGCTGGTTGCCAAGCCGCCGTTACAACCTGTAAGTTGAACTTGCTTAACTTCAGTTTCAAGATAATTTTTCGAACCTACCTATAATTTGTAATTGCAAGTTTGTATTCGCCCATCCGCTCTAAGCAAGCGTGATGATTGTTTGCGATGTCCAAACCTTTTCCGTATGAGAAGAGGCTTTTGTTCAGCCGTGCCCACTGCTGAACTTATAGGCTGATTATGTATGTTAAAAAGTCCTCTTGACTTTACTGCAAGTTATGAAAACTGAGAATGTTAATTGTCTATACCTAGTATATGAAGTTAAAGCCTCTAACAGCGTCAATGGAACTCCTCTGAATAGGATGGTTAAACATAATCTCCCTAAGCTAGTTCAAAAATGGCACTTTGAAAGGTTCAAGAGAAGCGAGAGCCAAATTCATCAGGTTTATCAGAGTGTTTTGCCCCTTAGCGGTAGTTCTACATTCATTTTTCTTCTGCTATCTTCTTTCTCTATCTCTCTCTCTCTTTCTTTCTTTTTGTGAAATTAACTATATTTTGTTGGATGATGTTTGCACAGATGTACGGTGGCGCGGGCGCTACACCAGCAGTTGGCGCAGTAGGCACAGCGGAGGCAGGCAGCCTGTCGTCGTACGGGTCGTCGCCTTCAACCCCAGTGCACTCCCCCCCTCCCCTACACGCCAGACTCTACCCCCCGCTCAAACACACCGCCCATCATCACCATCATCATAATGGGCAGGTAAGGATTCCACATTTATTTACCCACACAAAACTGATGACTGACCTGACCTCTACGCCTGGTGGTAAGTGATGATGCGACCTACGATGGATCACGCCTACACATAATCAACATATTCACTCAGGCCTTGAAGACACCCAGGTCCAGGTGTTCCCTTCGGGAACAAAAACTGTTGAACTACTACACTGAAGGTGAATCGCTTCGTGCATGCATATGGGATATCCACGGCTCCTTGAAGTTAGGGTGCCCGTGGCCTTAGGACTCACCTAATGGTAAGCAATCATTGTAGCTTTTTAAAGCAGCAACGTCAGAGTCACAATTGCCTGAAGCGCAACGTATTATGGAATCGATTTACGTATGGACAATTTCTGCAAGATGAAAAATACAATACAGGAGGAAATCCCGATGGCTCCCCAAAAATGATAGCGTGTTTAGCAGTGATTCTGCATTTATAATTTGCACCTATCAGTTCTCAGAGATGAGACGGTGTAATTTCAACTTTATGTAAAAGGGGAGACGGTGTAAAATATCTATTTATCTTCTCTTAACTAACCCTCCCTTGCCCCTAATTTCAGCAATCAAACTGGGTGTCATCAGGGGTATCGTCCCCTCCATCGGCGTCGACCCCGCACGCCCTCGCCGCGCCCGTCCTACCCAACGGACATCATGCGCCTATGCCTGTGTTCCAACCTACTGGAATGGTAAGTACCATCCTACCCAGACCCTATTTTAGATGTTAGGGTGATAGTATTATGGTTATGTAGAGTTTTATTATGTGATTTTGTTGTTACCATTCAAAATTTTAACCTTTTTTTGGTAAGGGAAAATAATCAAATGACTTCTCCCGCCCAGGGTTGGGCGAGAGAGAGTGTCAGACTTTAACTGATTAAAAACCCCCCGTCTATTGCTCTGTGTCGAGGCCGCTGTGCCTCAAAAATTTTAGCCTTGATAGTTTGGGAGATGTTTATGATTAATAAATGATGATAGCATTCAGTACAAGTACAAGTAAATGTTTTTACTAAAAGTTCTAGAAGTTAATTAATACAAAATTCATGTTGAAGTTTTTAAATATCATAGGTTTGTTGTTTTGTAAAATATTTTGTTAATACAAGATTGACTTCTTGTAAACTCAACTCAAAACAGAGATAGGATTTCGGTCCAGGTTTATTTATTTATTTAGGACAAAAAACAGTTATACATTGCAGAATTAACGATTAAGTAGTTACATTACAGTTGTAATAACGTATAACCCACACCATTGTCCACGTAATAACATATGAGTATAAGAGCTAACGCATGTTAAGAAAAATAAAATTTAAATTGGAATATTAGTTAACACTTACGGACAGATCGAGAGGAGCAGAAGTCGAGAGTAGGTACTTATGTACGACTTGCAAGAAATTGTGACACAGGTTGCGTGATTTGAGTAATATTGTACCGCGGTTCGGAGCAGGAAAAGTGATGGGGTGGTTTATAGTCAGTAAGGCTAAGAACTCACGGAGCGATTTTCGCCCGCGTCCGCTGCGGTTGCGGGCCCGCAGCTTCTGTAGAATTCAAATATTCATATAAAAAATTAAAGCATATTTCACGACGCGTTTTACGCCCGCGGTGTACGCGGTTGTATGCGGCTCCCGCTGTACCGGCGGGCAACTAGTAGAATCGCGCGGGCCGCGGTTACCCGCAGCCTCGGCGGGTGGCACCCGCGTGCTTTGCGATCGGTTGGCGAGCGACCGCGGGGGCCGGCGGGTCTTCTGTGAAGTAGTCTTGCAATCTTGCGATCATCACCCGCCACGTTTGCGGGCGATGATCGCAACCGCGGCGGCTGTGTAACCGCGCAAATAACCGGTCTCGTGAGTTTGGAAATAAAACCGCAGTTCCGCTACCGCGGCGGGCACGGTTCAAAATCGCTCCGTGAGTTCTTAGCCTAAGAGTCTAACTCGTCCGCTTACCGCCCGAGCCAGGGTGGAAGAAGATCTTTGCTAATTTTTCACCCTCAGTTTTTAGTCAGTAAGAGTCTGACTCTCCCTACAACAGAAGTCAATAGATGATACCCAAGAATACAGTTCATATTATAACATTATTTAACGTAACTAAGGAAAACAATTTTTGTAACTCAAACTACAATAAAATCACAACTTAAAACTCCACATAACCTCAATGTCTTCACTCTGATGTATATAAGACCCCATACATACCTATTGATACCAACAAGAGTTGCCTGCTCGACCTTTAGCCAGCATTTTACAATAACGCCAACAAAGCTATGGAAAAAGAAGTTAGTCCAAAACCTTACATACTATATAATTTAATATATAATACATTATATAATTGATAATCATGATAATTATAGTCAATTTTATTTGTCGGCTAAAAGTAATAAAGTTCATTTTTGAGTCATAAAAAAACATTTTCAAGTGAATACACTGAGAAAAGCTTAATTATTGTCTATCGGTTTAGGGCTGATTTATCAATGGTTAGATAAAACTTACCTGGGGAATAATTATGATGCTGTCGCGTCAGACGCGTGTCGTCGCGTTTGTATATGACAGTGACAGCAACAATTTTATTCCTCAATTGACATTTAACTAACTATTAAAAAATTAGCTCCTGTACTACATACGTGGCAAGATGCCTATGTCACTACATATTTATAATTAACTAGCGAGCTGCCCCGGCTTTGCATTTCAATGCTGATACAAAATCTCTCCACTATTTATAGGATGTTATTATACATATAAACCTTCCATTTCAATCACTCTTATCTATAAAAAAACTGCATCAAAATCCGTTGCGTAAGTTTAAAGATTTATGCATACATAAGGATATAGGGACAGAGAAAGCGATTTTGTTTTATACTATGTAGTGATATCATTCTAACATTGTAACATCAGACTGGCTTTAGGCTTTATATAAACGCGGCCATAGTCATAGTAACAATATACTTTTTCTTTCTAATTATTATAAAGAGGTTGTAATTTGTCAACAAATAAACTTGACATTATCATGATTTCGTTACAATATCGTTGACATTTTTAAAGATGTGTATTCTAAGCATGTTCCCTATCGCATGGTTGTAACTAATTTTACAATTTTCCCCGTAATTTTTGATTTTCTTTATAAACTATTTCGAAGCTTTGGATTTTTTCTTTTTTTGTTTTTTGAATTAATATTTTCGAAATGTAATACGAACAAAAAACAATATTAACACTCAATTTATATATGCTGTTTGACAGTGACATTAGTTGCATTGTATTGCCAATGTAAAAAAAAAGGTTCGTAATACATTTTTTTTGTAAATTTTTGTGTTTTATGTTGTGTTTAATAGCGAGGAGTGAGGACTAGCCATAGACTTGAGTTGTTTTTGTACAGTGTGTAGTTTGGTAGAATTTTTGAAAAAAATACCTAGTGTGCAGTTTTTGGTAGATTTTTTTTCGATTGGCTGTTGAATGAATTATGTGTTTCTTATACTTATAGAGAGTTTCGAATGTGTTTTTTTACCGCGAAATAACCCTATGCAAGTTGCAACTTGCCCGCATAGATACGCGTTTTCTTTTTAATTTGTAAACTGCGTTTTTCTTGCTTGGTGAAGCCTCAAATGTCATCTTACTTAATCATATTCATTACGCTAATGAACAATTACATTAACAATTTATATTTCATAAATAACTTATTCAATTTATCAGTACTTCTGATCCGTACATCGGATTCAAACTTTCCACCGGTATTAAATTTTATAACATAATCTTCCAACAAATACCCCAATAAATAAGGGTAAATTTTTCCAAAAGTAGTTCCCAAAATTTTAAGACATTAATTTCTGAGAGAATCAGAGAACAGTGTCATAAATGTCGGTCCCCTCCCCCTTCTCCCCGTTGACTCGTGTCTGTGGCCTGTCCCCACCTCTCGCTGACCGTGGCTTGGTTAGGGTGCGCCGGCGGAGCAGAGACAGCTGGACGAGGCGATGGTGTTCCTCCGCGACCACACCGACTGTGTAAGTATATAAACTGCTTAACCCCACCTTATTGTGCTGTGGATTTCAAAATATTTTGGTTAATTTGAAGTATCTTATTAAAATCTTCTCCATCGGAATATACACTTTGGAACGAGCAAATAGCTTCACTAAAAGAACTGACCGAAAGACTGACACTATATCTTTGAATTTTGTTTGACGTTCAATAGTGTCTGTAAGGGTCTAATAGAAATAAATGAAAAACGCCCTCTGCTGTCTTTGTCCCACACTTGGATTTTTTTCTATGTCCTGGGTGCTTTTACAAACAAACAAATTCATATACACAAGTCACCCAGATCGGAAAAACAATTTGTGAATCACACAAAATCCAGCCCGCGACACGTAGCCACTGCGTCAATTGTCAAGCCTGGATTTTTTTGTTTTATTATTGGATATCTGTCGAGATTTTTGGACAATTGTCTGGATGATTAAACAAGTAATACTTTAAAAAGTAAAAAAAATGATGACTGTAAAAGTAACTAAACTTTATAAAGATTACAGATAATTATTATTTTTATCTTAAATCCACAGCGCATAAGGTTTAAATTTTAATATTGCTTCAAATATAAAAAAGTACTTACATCCCTGTTAGAAAGAGATAACGTAGAAATATGTTTGTCTCTTTTTAGCAGATGTACATAGATATTTAGTGTGTAAATATGTATAATAATAGTTTTTATATTTGACGTGGCATGGTTTTACTGTATGTTTTATTATTTGCTTTTTGTATGTGTTTTTATAGATTATATCTAGTTATTTACCGTTTGTGATTTCCTAATTATAATGTTATATAATAATTTTACTATAAAAACGTTATATTCGTCCCTATCTAGCTTAGTCAGTAAAAAACTAATGCCTTTTCTTCAGTTCTAATAAAGTAGCACCGTTGCGCAATATTGCGCTAAACTTTGGCGCAACTATGTAGAACACAAAGTGTAGAGAAAAACTGCAAACAGATTTAGAACTTATTATCCTCCCTATTTATTAAATAAAAGCTATATAACAAAAGAGGATTAGAATATAAGCGTCCTCAATTTTATTAGACAAACTTTTATTGCGCAATTGTTTGTATTCAGCACCATCTATCGGCGATATTTGTCGAACTTCTTGTATACTTCAAAGTTTAAGTGACACTGATTGAATTGATTGTAGGTTCCATCGGATGACGTACAATATTCACTATATATAGTATTTGATTGCGTCCTAATAGTTCGTATTAGTATAGATAACCAGAGTTAAGTAATGGTGCGTGTACTTACCTTGCGCATTTATTGTAAACAGCGCCATCTATCGGCGATATAAGTCGAACTTCTCGAATATACGGTTATAGGTTAAATCATATGACACTATATTATACATTATTTGAAAATGTCATATTCGTTAGTATAAGTTTAAGTAAAACAGAGTTAAGTGAGTGTCCGTATGTATGTAGGGCGCGCGCATGGAGGAGCGACTGGACGACGCCATCAACGTGCTGCGGAACCACGCGGAGGCGCCCGACCTCTACCCACAGGACCTGCATCATCAGCCGCCAGGTAACAGGGAAAGGCAGAACTAGTGAACACTGTCCGTCGATAAATATTTCATATCGAGCTTTGTTTTTTTTATACATATGTATACAAATTCAAAAACACACCACATCTATCTTCATCCGAAATAATTTGTGGATCACACAATCAGGCTTTCTAGATATCCCAAATATACTTAGCTCAACCTAAATAAATAAGTTATAATAATTAAATAAATTAGACATTAGTGAGATAGAGTGTCGGTAATGTAGCCTTCGATGTCTCCTGCAGCGGCAGTGTCGCGGCTGGGCGTGGGGGGCGCGCTGCTGCAGACCGAGCCGCCCGTCAAGATGGAGCGCCACGTCCTGCCCAACACCAGTCAGTATACTAACATACATATCTATACTAATATATTAAATAAGTAAAATTTTTAAGTTTCTAAGTTTGTATGTGGGGGGTAATATTTGGAACCGCTGGTCGGATTGCCAAAATTCTTTCACTGATAGATAGCTACAATGTTCCTAAGTGCTATAGGCTAAAACATCACGCTACGATCAAATGGCACGCCGAGCAGTGGGTGAGACCGCGCGAGATTATTAATATTCATCCTTTGACAGTCAAATATAAAAAGATACACTTTGTTTTCTGTTCTTTTTTTGAGGGGGACAGTCATCAAATGATTTCTCTCGGTTCCCTCTGGGTGGGGCTCAAGCCATCGTATCAGGGTTATTTTGGGCTGTGATAACGTTTTTTTTATTTATTTTATTGTTCTCTTTTGATCTGTACTTTGGGTAGCTTTTCAAAGTTGCAAATACTGTTTTTCTCTCTTCAAATGAAACATGTCATTAACTGTGTTTTATATTTTATGGGAAAGACCGGCAATTTAAAAGATGGCAAGCAATCAACGCCGCCGATGGACACAGAGTAACACCTAAGGTTTTACGAATGCGTTGCCGGCCTTTCTTGGATTAGGGTTAGAGATTTCGGGATGAGGGAGGGAGGGAGGGATTATACAAAAGCTACTTCAAATTATCATTACCAAAAGTACAAATCTTATCTTCTCCCTTACAGAGAAACGCAAAGAGCCCCCGGACTCAGGTGTGGAATCGAAGCCGTCATCATCAGGTTCAGCGGACGCGCTCGCGAACAAACCGCCCAACAGCAAACGTTCGAGGCGATAGTGAGTATCTTACTAGTATTTAAATACATTTCGAGTTGAAAATTAACACCGTTTTACCGTCTGTTCAAGCGATTTTTAACTTTAACACCGTAAGCATAATGATGTCATTATAAGCAAAACAATTTGTTACAAACCCAACTTCTACTGCAGCTGTCGTTTGTTATTCTAATAACGAAATAAAAGTCAAAATCGGTTGAACGGACGGTAAAAAAGGGTTTTGATAAATGTCTTATATTATGGAGTACAGATTTTAGAGAAAAAGTTTCCCTGATCACTTTATCTTGTTACTGTTTTATTGTATTGCTGCTGTAACTTTTTGCGCCTATTATTAATTTGTTGCGCTACATATTGCGCAAAGAATTACTAAAGTTATAATTTTCAAGGTTCTTTTAATTAAAGGGTAAAACGAGACCCCAGAGGACTAAGACTTTGTTTTCTGTCCGTCCGTCACATGAACTAAACAGTTAGACTGTCACTTTTTTACGAGCCAAGTGAATGGGGAACTTTTTATCTCTTCTCTCAATATGTATTAAACTGTGATTCTTCGTGATAATGTTTATTTGATGTGATTTTACTAAACAGACCTAAGTGAAAAGCAATTTACATTTATTACTATTGTGCATTAAAAACTATTTTACCAAGAAATCATTTCAAATATACATTTTTGAAATTCTTTTGACTTGCCAACGTATTGGTAACTTCAATATTACCATCTTACTGCAGTGACGTCAAAATTGACAATAATAGTGGATAAATGAATATGGCAATACCAAAGCTAGTTACAATTTAAAATATAAGTAAAAGTAAAATTTGACTAGTTAGAAATTACTGGATTGCTGTTAGCTTCGGGCAAGCGATTCGGTAACTTATTTCGATATGTTAAGCAAATGATCGTGTGATCCGGAGGTTAAGGAGCCCGCTTCTCATGCATTAGGTGTGGGTTCGAAACCAGGCAAGTACCAATGTCACTTTTTCCGAGTTCTAAGTACTTTCTATGATTATTTAGACACTACTGATATACGGTGAAGGCAAACATGGTGAGGTACACCAACCCGCATTGATCAAGCGTGGTGAATAATGCTGTATGAGAAGAGGCCTTTGCTCAGCAGTGGGCACTTATAGGCTGATGACGAACCAAATAATTATATTATAATTTAAAATTCTGTAAAAAGAAGTTTCTAGATTTATACTATTAGTCTAAGTTCTAGGTTCAAAACTCATATCATTTACCAAAGGTACAAATATCAAAATTAGCCCAAAAACAAGATGATAAAAGTGACATAATTTTCCAAATTGCTCATTTAATATGTACTTGAAAACCTAGCTATGGTGCTGCCATATTATTGTTTAAAAAGAGTTAAGATTGTTCTAACATTTGAGATGTTTACTTGCATCACTTATTTTAGACTAATCTCAATAGTTTTATACAAAAAGTCGATTATATACTTTATTTGTTACAGCATTAGATGTTAATTTTCAATGTTAATTACAAATTTTGTATGTACAGGGTGTTCAAATAATTACCACTCATTTAAAAATCGGAATATTTCACTGTCTAATGCTTAATAAATTAAGATTATACAAATAACAGTAATTGAAGATGATATCAATTTATAAAAGTGTATCTATTTTTTTTTTTATTTTATATTTTTAAATTATATTTCAATAAAATCACATGATCATCTCCAATTACACAAATAAATCGACTAGACTTGACTGGCAACTATGGGGATCGGTTTCAAACTCCAATCTCGAAGAAACCTATCCCCAACGCAGTCAGTAAGTCACAATCATATAAGTGATACAAGTGGATCATCTCAAAGCTCGACCAACCCTGCAATGCCCAGCTGTTCATCGGCTGATGAGGATGATATGGACCCTGATACGAAGGCGGCGCGCGAGAGAGAGAGGCGACAAGCTAACAATGTTAGAGAAAGGTGCGGTTTGTTTTCACTGCCATCTGTTGTGCGTTGCCGGTACTACGTACTACTTACTAGCCGCCAGTTACATAAAAAAATATTATTTGGATAAAAAAGTATGTTTTACTCGATAGTTATTGAATTTGCAATTTGACTAACTGATGTAACTCCTAATTTTGATTGTTAAAGAATTGGCAACGCATAACTTATTCGTTTTTATTATTATTTTTCGTCTACACACATATACACTCGTACGATTTTCTATCCTAAAATAATCATTGATTTGTGGATATAAAATCTTATGTTTTTTACCAATGGGAGACAAATATTTTTTTATTTCTAATCTTGTGTACTTAATAAGGAATTAACCTTTAGTAATAATGTCAATAGTGGTCAATTTCAAGCAAATGACCATTTTAATTAACTTATAAATATCTAGTAACATTTTCTTTCTAGTTTTCAAACAAGAAAAGTATTTGTCTTTCGTCCTATATATATTTACATGGAAACTCACACCAGCTTTATATACTATGGTAAACATCTGAACACATATCATTGTCAACATATACCTACTTACTTTTTTTTTAAATTTTCAATCTCGAATCGACTCAAACAAATCAAGCTATACTTTTATTGTATTATAAGATTAACATATTAGTCTATTACAAGACCAATTCTAGGTTTAAAGTTTTAAACCTCTTTAGTCGAGTTCGCGTGTGCGAGCGCATGAATGCACCATAACCTTATTAAGGATTTAAGGATATTAGATTTGAGGATTGAAGATGGGGGAGGGAAGGATTGGGCCTCTGGTAACCTCATTTAATTTTTTTTTGTTTATGATATAAGTCGGCAAACGAGCAGACGGATTACCTGATGGTAAGCAATCGGCGCCGCCCATGGACACCCGCAACACCAAAGGAGTTACGAGTGCGTTGCCGGCCTTTTGGGGATAGGGGTTGCGGATATAAGGATCGGGAAGGGATAGGGGAAGGGAAGAGATTGGGCCTCCAGTAACCTCACTCACACGGCGAAACACAACAATGTGGTGTTTCACGCCGGTATTTATGGCGAAACAACGGTATTCTGTGAGGCCGTGGTATCACTCCAGTCGAGCCGGCCCATTCGTGCCGAAGCATGGCTCTCCCAGAATTAACTGTAATGGTTTTCTAGGTATGGGAGAGGACTGGGCGTCCTGCCTATTAATAATAGTATAACTTGATTTGCTCTTGTCTTTGTTTTTTCCTATGTTCTTTCTTTTCTTTGTACATAATTACCTATATACTTGGTTTAATTATATGTGTTTGTTTACCATCAGTTACATAAGATAAAGGGTTCTTATTGCACTGAAATATCTGAAAATATTTTCATCTCAATCAAGGTTGATGTGTATGTGAAATTGTATGTTTGTAAACGCAGCCACGACACAGGAGAAAACCCTAGTTGTGGGGCAAAATAACAAAATAAAAGCAAATTTGTCAAAATCCACATCAAATTGAGAACCGCCATTTTTTTTTCAAGAAGGTTACAATTAATTTATTCTGACATCAACCTTAAAAACTTTGAAACACAGTGGAGTTTTGTTTGCCTTCGATTATTGAAAAATATGTTCTCAGATATTTCAGTCTTACAAATACACACACACATATACATGTCACGGTCTATATACAAACCTATATATTATATATATCTGTACATAATATACTAACATTGTGTTATAGTTTCAGCACGCCATTCTAACTGGGTCACAGTGTGTACAATGTCTATTTTATACCTTATTTCTTATTTAAATAAAGTTCATTTCTGTGTGGTACTCCTAGGTAGGCGGCAGGTAAGTTTTGTAGTTTGATAAAAATTACTTTTTTGCAGATTTTTTTTTTAATAATCTTGTATACATTGGTTCATATTGATGTTTATTTCAATATAATTTGATAATTTAATGTTCCAATTTTGAAATAACTCAAAACGATACTTTTGTGTACAACGCCATCTAGTTGTAGTACTTATAAACTATTTGAGTTACGCATTGAATTGATTTTTTTTTCAAATCAGTTTAAAATAATGAAATGAGACAAAAAATATTAAGTACAAATTAATACAATGACTAGGATTATTCATAGACTTTAGAAGTATGGAGAATAACAACAAAAAGATCACATTTAAAAATATTTACGATTTCAAATCTGGAAAATATTTTTTTTTCTTACAAATCTTGTAAATATTTTTTTTTTTTCTTACAAATCTTGTAAATATTTCTTTATATTGGGACAAAATACCTAAGTCTTGATCATCATTCATCATTCGGTCACATTAACAAATCATCAAATCATTTGCTTAATTAATCGGTTGTAGGCCACACGCTTTGGACGGACGCACTTGAGCTTTTTAATTACACATAGTTATATTACATTTCATAATTATTTTGACAATTTTACCAAAAAACTAACTTTTATTAGCAGTAAATTGAAATACCAGTAATAATTATTATCATCTAGACCTTATCTTTTTCAAAATTGTTAAAACAAAAATAAATAAAAAACGTTTCATTGATTTTAAAATATGTACTTCATACAACTGTAGCAAAAAACTAAGACAAGAGTGAAATCTAACCTTTCTTTTGTACCTATAGTCTGTGAATATTCGCTTTAAAACCATTCACTCAATCATCCACCCATTCACTCGGTCTTATCATTCATTCTTTGCCACAGATTCACGTAAGCTCAAGTGTGCTCGTTCAAATAGATATATTTACGCTAGTTATAAGTAAACAGGATCAGCTGTTCTCTCTCCCGCGCTGCCATCTTGGTCCAGATAAAGGGTATTCGTTATTTTTATTATTCTTATTAAGATCAATAGATACAAAGGCAGGTTGGTCCAGTTTTGTTGATTTGGAAACGATGGAAATTATACCTTGTTTTTAATTCGAAAAAGTTTAATTTTTAATGCAGACAATATATTTATTTAAATTAAAAAAGAATAGTATGTTTTTGATATTCAGTCACTTATAAAATTTATGTAAATACATTATCATTGAAATTTTTCTTTGACTTTTTTCCTAAGATCTTTTAAACAAATAATCAAATAAACATTAGACATATACAAAGATTAAATCCCACATTTCCATCGTTTTTTCAAACACTAAACTTAGTTAAAGATATTACTAAATATACCTAAACCTAGTCTCTAACCCATAAACCTGGGTGTTAGTTGTTCTTCTGCGGACGAAGGTGACGATGAGGCAGACCCACAGGCCAAGGCGCTCAGAGAAAAAGAAAGGCGGCAGGCCAACAACGCGAGAGAAAGGTAAGAGAGTGAAATAGAGTGAGTTATTACGTAAGAGAGTGAGTGAGTGAGTGAATGTTAGTGTTTTGAATTTTACTAATTAGGAGTTCAGTGTTATGGTTAGTTAATTGAAGTTAGTTAGTCAGTTAGTTAGGATTAAATGGAAAAGTAACGCTGTCTTAAGATTTAAGTGTTAATATATTTTTGTCATGTTAGATACAGCAGAAGAGAGTCTGTCCTCAAAATATGTGTGTGGATTTTGATCAAAGTAAATACAACAGAAGACATGCCTTTGTTTGACGTAGATATTAATTATGTTTTATCTGAAACTTTTGGAAGGATTGGAAGGATTTTTTTTTAAGACACGAATTACGCTTTTGTAGACATTTTTGTGAGAGAAAAATTATATAAAATACTTTAAAACTATATTTTACATGTTTTAGCTTATTTTCTATTAGAAAAACTATAATAATTAGTTTATAAGATGTTTTAACTTATTTTGTGAATAACTTAGCTTTTATTTCAGATAATTTACGCACTGTGACCCAAGTAGAATATTTTTGTTGATCATGTTTTGTACACTAAATAATTATTATTATATATTTATATATTTAATTACATACACACTACATAACGTGTATATTAAGTTAAAATCTTGAGTAAATCTGTAATAATTTTTTTTATCAATGTTTTTATTCAAAGTTATCTATTTCTGAATTAACCAGAATAATATTATATTTTTTTAATAACAACTTAATATACACACGATATAATTAAAGCACTTTTTTTTCTATGTAACACTAATAACTTTGCCTACCCCCTTAGGATAAGGATACGAGATATAAACGAGGCCCTAAAGGAGCTCGGCAGGATGTGTATGACTCACTTGAAGAGTGACAAGCCGCAGACAAAGCTCGGTATACTCAATATGGCCGTCGAAGTCATTATGACTCTCGAACAACAAGTCAGAGGTGAGTTTTTTTTAGTACTAAGTGAGTTTTGTTGAGTACTAAGTGAGTTTTGTTGAGTGCTAAGTGAGTTTTGTTGAGTGTCTGAGTAAGTACTTTTGAGTTTTGGATGAGTTTTTTTTTATTTGAGTTTACTGATTACCCGATGGTAAGCAATCAGCGCCGCTCATGGACACCCGCAATACCAAAGGAGTTTCGAGGAGGGATTGGCAATCCGGTAACCTCATTCACACGACAAAACACAATGCTGTAGTTGTTTCACCCCGGTCGAGCCGACCTATTCGTGCCGAAGCAAGGTTCTCCCACACTTAAAAACAAAGTTAAAAAATAACATTATTATAGTTTTGCTTAAGCCACCACAAACTTTAATAAATCTTTGGTTAAGTTTTTATTTTGTACATTGTTTTTTTTTCTTCAGAACGCAACTTGAATCCGAAGGCAGCGTGTTTGAAGCGACGCGAGGAAGAAAAGGCGGAAGAAGCGCCCAAATTGCTGCCTGCACCCCTACAACACTATCAACCCATGCCGGTCAGTTGATATTACACTTTATAGCCCTTACATTAAATTTTATTTCTCTTTAACAACTCACTTTGTACATATACATTTTGAGAAAGTCTTAAACACTTATGATTTCTCTGCTGATATTATGATAGGTGTTTCTAAATGCTTGCTGATCAGTGAGCTCGATTATCAAATCCAAACTAATATAATAAATGCAAAGTAACTCTGTAACCCTCACGCCTAAACTATTGAACGAAGTTTTTAAACCAAAAGTCATGGGCAAAAGATAGTTTACAAATATTGTATTCGTAGCTCTTTTCATAATAGTAATAATATGTTCTACATAAACTTTTGATCTTAAATTTAATGAATAAAGCGCTATGTAAATTACAAATTCGAGTTCACTTAAACTTATTTGAGAATCGTGCATACAATTGTAAAAATAAAAAAAAATGTATTAATAACCTAAATTTAAAAATATTAGCTTTTCTTATGATGATGAAATAATGTTTTTTTTATTTACTTTATAGGGCATGGGTCAATTGCCAGGGCAACCCCCCACAGGTGGCCCCCCTCCGCAATAGCGACGCGCCGCGCGCTAACTACGCACTGCGATAGCACCGAACCCGGGACTCTGCCTGCACTAGCCCGCGGAACACGCGAAAAAACTCACGTTAAGTGAGTTAGTTTGAGTTGCGATTGAGTAACATGTGAGTTTTTTTGAGTAACAAAAATAATTTTGCATAGAAAATTATTACTGAACTACTGTTTTTTTTTGGTTATAAAAATTGGTAATGTACAGTTTGATGTTTATAAACACTTTTTAAACAAGTTACCACAAAAACAAATGATTAGTATGATTTAATTATTGTATAAAAAGATCTGAATCTTGCATGCCAATCAATTTAATTATACCAAAATTAATATGTAACTTAAACATCAGCTGTATATTAACAAAAATTAAATAGAATACCAAAAATTTGGTGTAAGTTTTTGCTAATATAACTAAAAGATAATATTGAAATTCTTTTCATAGTGAAACATGTCAAAATATTGTGTAGGGATTTTAAAATAAAGTTTTCAATGTTTTTTTACTTAATGTTACTCAATCGTTAACAAAAAAAATTAAATTAAATGTTAAAATGAAAGAAATGTTTCTTAACATTCGCGTGTATATACCAAATTCATTGCATTTTAAGCATAATTATATGTTTTTTTTTTAATTATGTCTTCGACCCTGTTGATCAGGAATGGGCCACTGTCTTACCAATGGGAAGCCATAATGATTTTTCTAAGTTTTAATTATTAATTATTAAGTACACACTTTTAATTTCATATGATTGATACCCAGTGACTGTGGTTTGGTGTTAAAAATACCGATTTTTTTGCCTACTGAGGCAAGTAAATGGATCTTCAGTCTTTTTAGGGTGACTTTTGATTCATTTACAATTAAAATTTTACCCAGTTTAATTATATATTTGATTCATAAATTTACATTATGAGATTTCAGTTTTTAAATTCCAACTTAATTCTATGACAGTTACACAACGAACATTCTTTGTAGCCTACCCATTTTATTACTCTGGCAACACCAGAGTCCGCCTTGTCTATGGGTAATGTCGTGTGACGTCATAACAAAGTAATTTTAACACCGAACACGATTTATTAATCGACGGATGAGTTCCAAAGAATTTTAACTGAGAAAAAATTAATACAACGGTTAAAAGCAGTGCGTAGTGAAAATTTCCGGACTCTTTAGTTTATAAGTGTGTATAAATTTAGCTATAGGGATAGTTTTATATAAAAAACTTAAACATCAGACGAAAAATGCTATGTCTATATCCAAAGACATACTCTGTGTAAAATATTAACTTAGCATATATAGTTATATGATAGGTATAAATGAAATAAGAAAAAAACATATTTTTAATTACATTTTGATTTTTAATTCATACTCTTGCGCTGCCATAGACACCACTACCGCTTTATATTGAGTTTTAAAAAGCTAGACAATAAATGTTTTTTTGTTTATCCACCCTCATCTAAAAGCTAGTGGTGTGTTTTAAAAACTTACGTAAAATTGTAGACTTTTTGAACTTTTTTCGTCATAAAATTAATTGATTATGCTCGGTGTTAAGAAACTTATGAAAATAGTACTTATTGTAATATAGAAAGGTGTTATTTTGAATTGGAATTGTTTTGATTTGTAAAGTTTACAGTTTTACGAAAGAGAAAGTATTGTAAAATAATTGTAAGGGCTGCTAACTTATGAAAAGTACTTAATTGACATTCGTACTAAAGCTCCAGTGACATAATTGTTGACATTTAGTATATTTTTTTGACATGCCACGCCCGTGAGATCTACGTAAATAAAGTACGTACACATATTTTTTTAATATTAATAAATAGTAACATTTTTCTCTTTTTTAGTTTTTCCTTTTTAGAATATGTTTCGGTAGCTATTTCGCTGGAAGATCGTAAAATACTTATGCAGGTTTTTGTGTAAGTTATAATATGAATTTTTATTTTTTTTATATATATATCTGTTATTGTCATATATATATTTTGTTTATATATAAAAACTTTATATTTGGTATTTCTTTCTTTTATTTTTTAACGGAAGAAATCACGAATGATATAGTTTGTTTCTTTTTTTTTTTGAAATCAATTCGTTCACACTTGATAATACTATGATGAAATAAAATCAGATTCTTTATTTAATCAAAAATAAAGACAAATCTAATTTTTTTAATATTATTGTATATACATACATATATTACAAAAAGTCCGCTCAATGACTTAATAATTGAATACTGACGTAAAATTTGAACTAAATTATTATTATTTTTATTTGTTATTATTTCATGACATTTTACTATTATTTTTTTCGAAACAACTATTATACGTACTGTCACAGTTACATCAGTAATGCGTTTAGTATGATATTTTTAGTTGTTTCGACTTAGTCGGGTTTAGTCGAGTTTTTTAGTTAATTTACGGGATGACATCGACTATTTGAATGAAAAACGAGAAATATTTGAACCCAGTTTAGTTAGAAATGTGTTTCTGCTTTGCGCAACGGTTGCGCTAAATTTGCTCATAATCTGCGCAAAGTCATCTAGTAAAATTTGCTCCTAAATTCGACATTAAAAGTAATCCAAGTACATTGTAGTTTCAATATTAATAAAACTCGGGACTTTATAATATTCAACTGCAATGAACTTGCTTACCCCGGCTAAAATCTATCCATTTTTAGTTATAGTCCTAACTAAATAGTACTCTGTATTATATAGGTTTAAGATTGATTTTCCCTTAAATCATGGATCATGTATATTTTCCCAAAAGAAATTCGATTTTAATTAAAATTTTCTTAAAGTAGAATTATCATGGTTTAAAAGATCTAAGTAATTTTCTGATTCTTTTAGTTATTTTTAGAAAAGTATGGTTAAATTCGATTTCTTTTTTTAATAATTCCAAACACAATTAATTTTGTTTTTATTCATAATAAAACTAACTAAATAGTTTCTGAAAGAATGAACAGTACAATTTAAAAACAAGGACCTGTTGGGAGCGTTGGGCGAGTTTCTAATTGATATATAATTTGAGATATCTTGTAACGGCTGATTTTTCAATAGTCAGATATTTTTATCTGAGGAATAAAATTCTTGCTGTCACTGTCTTATACAAACATTCTGACGCGACAGCATGATAATTATTCCCGAGGTAACTTTAATTTAACCATTGAAAAATCAGCCCTAAATATTTTAAATTATTTACAGTTAGATTGACAGTGACTTAATAAGATACTGTTAAAGCGAGCAAGAATTAATATGTCAGTGAATAAAAATGTTTTAGAAAGAAATTATTCAATTTTTCAGAAACTTTTCAGTTAATTAGTGAAATATCTCATGCTGGCCATAATGAAATAAATATTATGTAACTACTGCTTTTTTATCCGCCATATTTTTATTTCCAATTTAAATTTGCTCATATATAATTTTTGTTGCAAATAAATTTAGTACCGAATTATTTTTCTACGTTTAAAATACAAGAAAGTATTTTCGTTTATATATTATAATGAAGCTGATTATTGTAATTATGTAAGATATTTACTGAGAAATGTATAATCAAATTTAATGTGTTATCATAAGGATGATTTTGATTTTCAAAATTGTTTGTGGAATTGATTAATTGATTATATATTTGTCATTGAATGTTATATGATTTGACTCAATAACTCAAACTCGGACGATCTTGCTACATTTTGGAAATATAATGTTTAGTACTACGTTAGTTATAAGCCTGTCAACTTTAGTTTAGTTTAGTTGATTCCTCTTCCATTTAGCTATAATTAAGTTTTTTTTATTATTATTAATTATTAATTATCTATAATTTGTTGTCTCTGCGTACTGTTTAGGTCTATTTTAAGATTTCTTTAATACGTACGCCTTCGCCTGTAATTTATTCGCATCCGGTCGGTCTTATGAATGGTTCAAATTATTCGACAATGCCATGATCCTGGAGATTGTGTACAAAATGAGGCTTTTTTGTTATTTTATTTTTGTTTTTGTCAATGGCAACCCCAGCAGCCTATGTAACATAGAGCATTTGTTTCTTTTTCCTGTTCAAATGCATAGATTAAAATATAACTACAAGAAAGGTCTAATTATAAAAATGAATAATATTAATTAAATATAAATGTGCCATTCATTTTGCTATATTTTGTGTTTTATTTTACCTTTTTTGAAATTATAATTACATAATTTTAATGGTATACAAAGACTACACAGCTATTAACATACCTTTTAACCGCACACCACATTTACACAACTTTATATTAATTTGATGGTTTCCCAAATATATTTCTGCTCTTCATCTAGTTATTACCCTAGTACATTTCATTGTTACATCACACATCAGCCTATTAATGCCCTCAGCTGAGCAAAGGCCTCTTCTCTCAAGGAGAAAGAAGGTTTGAGCATTAATCACCACGCTTGCTAAAGGCGGATTTGCGATTTCAAACTTATAATAAGAAATTATAAGTCCAGATTTCCTCACGATGTCTCTTCACCGTATATCAGTGGTGTCTAAAAAATTAAAGAAAGAACTCAGAAAAAGTCACATTGGTACTTGCCGTACTTGCCAGATTTCGAACTGGCACCCTCAACATTAAGTCAACAAAATTAATTAAATATCTGAACTGGAAGACGGTCTCACATTGGCAGCAATTGGTGTACTAATTTAGAGAGATGAAATACTCTCTTTCTTTGCTTTGTTCTGTTAGCTTAGTAGAGGAAGGCGACTAGCTCTCCCCCTCCTGCTGGAGACGTGCTGGTGGTCGACTTTGCGACACAGCAGCCAACCTGCTATTTCCCTAGAAAAGGCCTCGGGCCACTGACTACGTTATCGTGTGGTTCTAAGCGCGGAACTCGAAGAAGCCCTTATGTGCCACGAACTTGGCAGGACCTATCGAAAACATGCCTCAAACTTGACTGCACGGTTGGCGCGGTGGCTGGGCAACCGGCTGAGGCGCAACGTGTCGTTGGTTCGATACCTGCACGGAACAACACTTCACTGTGATCCACAAATTGTAATTCGGGTCTGAGTGTGATGTGTATGTGAAATTGAATGTTTGTAAACGCACCCACGACATAGGAGATATTCCTAGTGTAGGGCAACTATTTTTTTAATAATAATAGGCCCAATATGCCACTACAGACGGGGCCCTACAGGGCTGATGTTCAGCCGGGTTTGCGGTAAGCTCAATGTGGCACCGCGGCCACGACCAAAAACAGGAGAAGGAATGGGGGGTTTTAGTCAGTAGATAAGAGTTTAACACTCTCTCGCCTTACCCTGGGCGGGGGAAAGTAATATGATTTTCCCCTGACAAAAAAGGCAATGCCCCGGAGCGAAATACTGCCTCGATCTATTGAGCACACCTAGCTTCTTTTAGGCTAACTTAGCCTTGCACTCTAGATGACCGCGAAATTGGACTTCACTCGATTTGTCGACACGAAGTATTTCAAAATCCAAATACCGACCCAGGCTGTTAAGGGGGTGCTCTGAAACTGAGGAAATACGACTGACGGCTAAGCAAGCAGACGGATTACCTGATGTAATAACCAGTAATCGTCCCACCCATGGACACCCGCAGCAAAGGAGCAGTTACTAGTGCTTGGCCGTCTTTTTGGGAATTAGGGATTTGGATATTTTGAGATTGGAGGCAGGGAAGTATTGGGCCTCCGGTAGGCTCGCTCACAGTGCGAAACACAACACTTTGGTAGTGTCACGCCGGTTTTCGATAAGACCGTGGGCTCACTACAGTTGAACCGACACATTCGTGCCGAAGCATGGTTCTCCCACACTCATAAAGTCTACCCCAATCTGAGATTTCAGACACAATTCTATTTCGACTCTCGATGATTTCACGAGAAATGTACGCCGGCCGGCGATCACCCGTGCGCCATCCGCATAACAATGAATGCCACTGATTCGTATCACGACATTTATGCTTCTGTATGCAAGAAAGCAGGAGACCCAATTGCAAAGTTTCTCGGGAAGCCCATTAAAAGGAAGTTTCTAAAAAGTACATTCGATTCGAAGGTCTTCGCTGAGTTCAAATTAAGTAACTGGCGAAAGGTTATCAAGGCCATGTGGAAAGTGGTCCCATGGACTCGATCGCCTGTGCAGATCGGTGTCTCAGGTAAACTAGAAGATCAACAGAGAAGCAACCTTCACAGAAACCGTTCTGTCGGTAGGTAGTTGCTGATGATCTTCCAAGTATCGAAGGATCTAGCAGTTAATAATTGATTCGATTAGTTTCGATAACAGAGAAGATATGGCTATTGGTCTATCGTTGGACGATCACATTTATTAGGGATCAGGTTGACTAAAGCTTTTTATTTCTATTAAAAAAACGTTGCCCTACACTAGGATTTTCTCCTGAGTTTTTTTTGTGAGGGGAAAATTATCAAATGACTTCTCCCACCCAAGGCCGGGCGGGAGGGAGTGTCAGACTCTTACTGACTAAAAACCCCCCTGTTCTTTCCTGCTCTGGGCCGAGGTCGCGGTGCCCCATTGCGCCTACCCCGCCACCCCGGCTGAACATCAGCCCTATAGGGCCCCGTCTGTGATGGTCTATTGGCTCTTTGAGGCGCGCGTGGAACGCTACGCGCTGTACGCTCGGGCTTGGTTCTGGTCGGGCGGCGAGCTGTCCTTACTCGCCGACCGCCTGAGTCGGTTACAAACATACAATTTCACATACAAATGGCACCCAGACCCAGAAACAACAATTTGTAGATCACAACAAGAGTTGTTCCGTGCGGGAATCGCCGGGAATTGTCCAGCCATCGCACCAACCTCAGGCTACAGTCAGGCTGTCTTCCAAGACGTTTGGACTAGTTACGCCTGACGAGTACCTATGAGAGCCGAAAAAGGCGTGTTAGCTTTGGAGCGCACATCTTATACACAATGTATGGAACTCTGTTTTTATAATAACTATCGTGAGACATACCTACTAAATTAACGAAAACTCGCGGGTTACTCCCGTATGTAATTGAGAAAAGCTCTACTAGTTAGTTAGTTTAATTTGTATAGAACTCCGTCAGGCCCACGTGACTTATGGCGATGAGTGCCAAAAGTACCGAGCTCCAGTGAAATCATTCTGGTATATAACACGGCCCACCACGGCACGTCAGGTGGCACACGCCCTGGCTCGTGTCCGTTACCCAGGCCAGATGTTGTCGACAATGGTCATTTGAATCTTATAGATAATTAGTTGTGCGGCTTCTGTAATTGTTGCGCACATTTTTAAATTTGTTGCGCTTATAGTTTTTTAATTATTTCACAAAAACATTTCCTGCTGGCGTAACGTTACCACAGCCAGACCTTTTTCTTTCTAATGGGAATATTTAAATAAATATTAGCTATAAAATTAGTTGTCTAGATAAAGTAAATGTTGTGCCTTATTTTGTATTTGTTCTTTCTTTGGTTGCGAAGTTATTCGAGATTTTGCTGCGGTAACGTTTTTGGTTTTGCTAGATCTTTGAAATGGTTAAGCGGATTCTTATCATATTTTGTACACGACTTCCGAGGACTTAGTTTAAATTTGTTGTGCAATAACAAAACCAAAATAATGCATATTTTAAAGGTTTTTTCAATAAATAGAAAAACACTTCAATTGGCCCCAGCACCCTCAATAAGAAGTCTAAAGACTTACTTTAAACGTAATTTTAAGCTTGTAACTGCCTACAAATGTATGTGAAGTTTCATTAGTATCCCGTAAGTATTTAACAAGTTATGATGATATTCAGTTCTTCACGAGCAAGGCCTTAATGCACGCGGTGTTATTTGGCCACTGGATTGGATATATGAACTGAATGTTATGTCAATGATTAGTTGTTTAGATCAGTTGTATATCAGTAAAATTTCAGCTCAATACATTGGATAATTAATGAGATAATACTATTAAAGTCATTAGGAAGTGAATGACCGTGGTAAGCCGACCAAGTTTAGGTGGTTACGAAAAAGCGAAAACGCAGAACATTATGGTACCTTCTAAAATATGTAGGATAGTGTTATAAATTTAGTACAGACATGTACAAAAGTTAAAAAAAAAACTACATGATTATTCAAGATTTTTTATTGAAAGGTAAAATAATCATTTCAATTGAACTTTTACTCCCTTACTTATAAAAACTTGTGTTGCTTAGCAACCGATTTAACATCACCCGTCCTTGTCATTTCTATTTCAAAATGCAGTTCAAAAATCATCTAAAAGGTTACAAAAGTAACCTTCTGGCAAGACTGAGTGCGTTATGCAAACAATGTATTACCCCTTCACCCCACTCCTCCTGCGTCCTACCGAACGGCATGCTCTAGCGGTGATTTTTGATAATTTTGTGGAACTGGAAGATAATGTTTTCTTTTATATTATTATTAGATAGGTATTTAACAGTGTACGCGTCTGTACCAAAATTTTAAGGTGTATTATACTAAACATTTCAAAAGATAGTACAATGTTCTGCGTTTTCGCTTTTTCGTAACCACCTAAACTTGGTCGGGTTACCACGGTCATTCACTTCCTAATGACTTTAATAGTATTATCTCATTAATTATCCAATGTATTGAGCTGAAATTTTACTGATATACAACTGATCTAAACAACTAATCATTGACATAACATTCAGTTCATATATCCAATCCAGTGGCCAAATAACACCGCGTGCATTAAGGCCTTGCTCGTGAAGAACTGAATATCATCATAACTTGTTAAATACTTACGGGATACTAATGAAACTTCACATACATTTGTAGGCAGTTACAAGCTTAAAATTACGTTTAAAGTAAGTCTTTAGACTTCTTATTGAGGGTGCTGGGGCCAATTGAAGTGTTTTTCTATTTATTGAAAAAACCTTTAAAATATGCATTATTTTGGTTTTGTTATTGCACAACAAATTTAAACTAAGTCCTCGGAAGTCGTGTACAAAATATGATAAGAATCCGCTTAACCATTTCAAAGATCTAGCAAAACCAAAAACGTTACCGCAGCAAAATCTCGAATAACTTCGCAACCGAAGAAAGAACAAATACAAAATAAGGCACAACATTTACTTTATCTAGACAACTAATTTTATAGCTAATATTTATTTAAATATTCCCATTAGAAAGAAAAAGGTCTGGCTGTGGTAACGTTACGCCAGCAGGAAATATTTTTGTGAAATAATTAAAAAACTATACGCGCAACAAATTTAAAAATGTGCGCAACAATTACAGAAGCCGCACAACTAATTATCTATAAGATTCAAATGACCATTGTCGACAACATCTGGCCTGGGTAACGGACACCCCTGGCTCCCAGAAGAACGGTACCTTGTGTCGAATGAGACCATTATAAATAGACACTTGAAAGTCTAACAAAGATTAAAAAATAAAAAATATCTGATTGTCGGTCAGATTTAAGTGAAGATATTTGACCTCATTTACACGGCGAAACACAACCCTGCTTCACGCCGGTATCCTATAAGGCCGTGGTATCACTCATGTGCCCACAGCGTTGTTTCGTTGTGTGAGCGAGATTACCGGAGGCCAAATTCTTCTCCTCCCCTTATCCCTAATTCCCAAAAGGTCGGCAACGCACTCGTAACTCGTCTGTTGTTGCGGGTGTCCATGGGCGGCGCTGATTGCTTACCATCAGGTCTGTCTGCTCGTTTGCCGTTCATTATGTCCAAGTACTTCTACAGTTTATAAGTCTGTGGCAATCTTTTGTTTTTTTTTCTTTGTAATTTTAGCGTAGACTAAAATATGAGGATGTAGGAACAAAATAAAACCAAACAAATAAAATAAGTGTAATTTATTAGAATCAGCTCTTAAACAATACAATTTGAGCGATTACTCCACAGGGTGATTCAACATTTTTCCAAAACGTTATATACCTAAGTATAATTATTTACATAAAAAACGAAGCCGCAATTATTTTCCACTATACAGAAAAACACAAAAAGAAAAAAAAATACTGAACTGTAGTCTTTCTGAGATAAAGAGGGGTTTAAATCCCCTTGCAAACTGTAGATGCAAAAATAAAACCAATATTTGGAAAGAGCCTTGAAATATGTAATTTGTAATTGATGTACACACAACTTCGCTTTGTCTAGACTGTGTCCCGGCGTTGCCCAGGCATTGCCTATCGCCTGTCGGTCTTGCCCACCCCTCGTTTGCCCGCAAACAGATGTTTGGGCATCTTCGTCCCGATGAACCTGTCCGCCTCTCCCTTGAGACCCATTCGCTTGGTTTTCTTCGCGATCGCAACGTGGGCGAGCTTCTTCGCTTTTTGTTGCATCTGTTTATGAAAATAAAATAAAATGATAAATAAATCTGTCATTTAATATTGATGATTATAAGTGTAAGGCAGTTTGGTTACAGATTTATTAAATATTTGAGTCCTAAGTGCCTAAGTACAAGTTTGTTTTACGTTAACATGATCAAATCGTCGGCGCGTTAAGGAATATTCGGGCGTTGTGCTAATTGAAATACAAACAATCTATACCAATAAAAAAAATAAAAAAAAAATATTTAAAAAAATGTCCTTGACATGGGTAATGCATGCTAGAGCACGGGCCCTGCTTGCGACCTTATGCCAAGCTGTCGCTGTGCGCCCGACTTGACTGTACCGCAGTATGTCACTGCAGACAGCTTCGAACGGGCGAGAAAAGTAAAATAGTAATTTAAGCGAAGGCGAAAATAATAATTTAATTTATCTTGATGACTAAAATCCATGAAATAGATCGAAAATTCCTACAGCAAAATATTTTCGATATAATATATTTTGCAGTAGGCATTATATTTCACAATATGAAATGTATTGATCATCACATCATCCGCCTGTAAGCGCCCACTGCTTAGCAAAGGCCTCTTCTCACACGGAGAAAATTTGAGTATTAATCACCACGCTTGCTCAAGGCGGATTGGCGACTACAAACTTATAACTAAATATTATAAGTCCAGGTTTCCTCACAATGTTTTTCTTCACCGTATGTCAGTGGTGTCTAAACAAGTCGGAAAAACTCTCGTTGGTACTTGGCAGGTTTTCGGAACCGTTCATGAGGTACGAGTACCTTGACCTCCGGACCACCACGACATCAAGAATTAATTAAAAATTAGTTTTATTTTCATTAAGTACTATAAGAAACTCCGCGCGTGCATCGCCCGATCAGCTGTTAGTGCATGGGGGCGCGGGTTCGAAACCTGGCAAGTATCAATGTGACTTTTCCCGAGTTACATGTACTTTCTATGATTTAGACACCACTGACATACGGTGAAGGGAAACCTAGACTTATAATTTCTAATTATAATTTTGAAATCGCCAATTTGCCTTGAGCAAGCGTGGTGATTAATCCACAAATCTGTCCGTGTGAGAAGATGCCTTTAGGCTGATGATGATTATGATGATTTTTTTAATAAACCACGCCCCTTTCAACAGAGTTCTCCTGTGTCGTGGGTGCGGTTTTAAACATACAATTTCACATACACATCACACCCAGAATAAGGCCTTTGCTCAGCAGTGGGCACTTATAGGCTGATGATGATGATAATGATAATGATCACACTAAGACCCGGAACAACAATGTGTGGATCACACAAAGAGTTGTTCCGTGAAGGACTCGAACCTGTGATACCAGCCAGCTGTCCAGCCACCGCACAAGAAGTATTGGTATACTTACAAGAGCGTCTCCAACGCCGGTGGTGTCTCGGGCGGGTCTGCTGACGGAACGGCCGCGGGAGTCGGCGCGCGCGCGCTTGGCGGCCGGCGCCGACTGGGAGCGGGACCGAGACCGCGTGAAGTGGGCGTCCTTCGTGTCCGACATGTCCACGCCTGGGGAGAAGGACAGAAGAAAAACACGTTAGTATCCAAAAAGGTTTGAAAAAAAAAAATACAATCTAGGCAATAAGAAAACACACAGTACGTGGGTACTATCCTCAATAAAAAATTGTTTCAATGCAATAATGATGAAATGATGAAAAAATCACACTTGGATACATTGATTTTACAATGTAATTAATTTCTATGTAATTATCAAATAAATAAGTTTGCTAATTGACGCATAGAATATCAACAATACGAAATATTATTATGTAGTTACTTATTGATTTGGATTACTCTTCAAATACACAATTGACCACAGCCACGAAACATCTGATCAAAGTTCGTGTCAGTGACTGTAATAGATATCATTACTTCTTTTAAAATTTTAACTGTCGTACTCAGAAAACAATTTAAAGATAACTTGAACTTTTTAAGTTATTAAAGCCATTACAGAAATAGAGAACTAATCATGTTTTTTTAATGTAAGGGCTAATTTTTCAATGGTTCGATAAAAGTTACCTGGGTAATAATTATGATGCTGTTGTATAAGACAGTGACCGCAACAATTTATTCTTTAGATAACATTTATCTGACTATTGAAAAATCAGGCCTAAGACAAATAATTAATTAGTGTGATATTTTTTTATGCAATAATTGTAATCTTATAAATATATAAAATGTCCTTGACATGGGTAATGCATGCTAGAGCACGGGCCCTGCTTGCGACCTTATGCCAAGCTGTCGCTGTGCGCCCGACTTGACTGAACCGCAGTATGTCACTGTAGACAGCTTCGAACGGGCGAGATAAGAAAATACTTTTTAAGCTTAAGACTAGTGTTTGTATTATCTAGCTAATTTAAGATGAAAATAACTATATATTTACTTACTTACTTAATAATAGTAACAAAATAAGGTTATTTTCTTTTTATGTTTCTCTGTATACACGCGTTACACTATTCTCACATAATTAAACCAACTAAATAATGTATCAAAGAATCTTAATGTGACACTGATTTAAAAAGAGTAACCATGGAGTTTCTTGCTCGTTCTTCTCCATAGGAATCTACACTTTGGAACGAGCAAAAGCTTAACTAAGAGGACTGACCGACAGACTGACACTTTATATCGTTAAATTTTGTTTGATTTTCAAAAGTGCCTGTATGGGTCTAATTGAAATAAATGATTTTGACTTTTGATAAAATGTAAAATCATATTTTTTTGACACATATATCGGGCCGCTATTAAATAGATAGAGTATTATATTCTTACCGAGTTTCTCCATTTCCTCCCTGAGTTTCCCGGTGGAGCGGTCCCTGGCGCGGGCGCGGCTGGTTCGCGGCATGACCGGCTTCGTCGACTGTTTCACCAACCGAGATTCGTCCTTTAGGATCGCCTTCTTGTTGCTGGAAGACGGAAAACAAATCACATAAGTTTTATCCTCAGAAAAAAGTATTGAACTTTTATTTTTTTATGTGATAGGGCGGCAAACGAGCTGACGGATTACCTGATAGTAAGCAATCAGCGCCGCCTATGGACCCGCAACACTACCTAAGTTACGTGCCTTGCCAGCCCTTTAGAGATACCGTTTTGGTAAATTTACGAATTGGGAGAGGACATGAAGAATTGGGCCTCCAGTAACCATGATACCACGGCCTCACAGAATACCGGCGTGAAACAACCACAGCGTTGATTTCGCCGTATCCCTCCCCCTCCCCTATCTCTTCCCGATCCTTATATCCGCAACCCCTATTCCCAAAAGGCCCGCAATGCACTTGTAACTCCTTTGGTGTTGCGGGTTTCCATGGGCGGCGCCGATTGCTTACCATCAAGTAATCCGTCAGCTCGTTTGCCGACATATACTATAAATAAAAAAAAACCTCACTCATACGGCGAAACACAACGCTGTGGTTGTTTCACACCGGTTTTCTGTGAGGCCGTGGCATCACTCTAGTCGACCGACCCATTTGCGACGAAGCTTGGCTCTCCCACACTTAAGGTTTTCGGAGATTTAGGAATGGAAAGGGATTGAAGAGGAGAGAGAAATTGGACCTCAAGTAACCTACCTCACACGGCGAAACACAACTCTGTGGTTGTTTCAACAGTTTCATGCCAAGGCTTAGCTCTCGCAAACTTAAAAACAGTCTAGACTTAAAAACAGACAGCTAGCTATAAAAACAAGCAAAAATCAACCCTATATTGACATAAATACGTACCGTATCTGCCTGGCGAGTTCTCTAATCTCCTTCATAGTATCGTCCAGCTCTATCTTGGGCACAGCGTACATTCCTCCCTCGATACGCAACTCCTCTTCGCGTTCTAACTCAGCCAATTTCTAAACACGCCAAACAAAAACATTGATTAATATATTATTTAACCTGAATCATGGACAGGAAAAAAACTTAGTACCAGCTTCGTACGGATGCAATGCTAATACTAAATTTCTCCACTATTTAATGGATGTTATTATACATATAAACCTCCCTCTTCAATCACTCTATGTAGTAAAAAAACCGCATCAAATCATCATCATCCGTTGCGTAGTTTTAAAGATTTAAGCCTACATATGGATATAGGGACAGAGAAAGCGACTTTGTTTTATACCATGTAGTGATTATAAAGCTGTAAAGTTTCTTATACTCGTTTGAACGCGTTAATATTTCTATTCAAATTCAATACTTTTGTCCAAATGTCAAAAACTATACTTTTCTATGAAATTTGTATGAAACTCCAAATGATGAAGTCAAAGTGCGACATATAACTTACTTATTTCTTAAAAGATAGCTAAAAAATATCGAAAATTTAGTGTATCGATCGATCTATGAATAAAAGTATAGTTAATTTTTAATATTATATTATATTGAAACGTCGAATTAATTTATTTTCAACCTAGGAAACTACACAATTGAACAATTCTTTTTATGTTGGATAGGGTAGGAGATATCGAGGAAGGCTATATGCTATAAAACATCACGTTACGATCTGAAGGAGCCGAGCATCTATTTATTAATATTTTTTAAAATAATAGTTATGTGTCCTTGACATGGGTAATGCATGCTAGAGCACGGGCCCTGCTTGCGACCTTATGCCAAGCTGTCGCTGTGCGCCCGACTTGACTGTACCGCAGTATATCACTGCAGACAGCTTCGAACGGGCGAGAAAACATTAAAATACAATAGGTCTTAACTAATATTCAATATAAAAGCGAATGTTTGTAATTACGGATAGATGTTAGTTACTCTTTAACGTAAACACTACTGAATGGATTTGGTAATTCGACATGGAGATTTATTATAGTCCGTAATAATACATATGTTATTTATCCTATGAAAACGAGCAGAACCGTAAGCGGAACTAATATTCTTCTACATACGTATAATATAAAAATGAATAATAAAATGTGTTGATAAGCGCGTAACTCAAAAACGGCTGAAGCAATTTTGCCAAATCTACATTTATTTCTCAGTTACAGATAGAAATCGGAAATTTGCTACCGGTTGGATCCATGCGAAACAAGGGCAAGCCGCTAGTCTGTTATAAATTACACATTGAAGAATAAATCACAATTTTAATAGACGAGTATTACGAAAATTAAAAAAAAAATATTTAATCTGACAACTCAATGCAGTCAAATATGACAAAATAATGACCATTTCATAAATTGATTTTACTATAGTAGCAAATTTGAAAGAAATACACAGATTCCCCGAAAAAAATCAAAGAAAGAAGAACAAACATATTGAATTGGAAATATAGCGTGATAGTTGCCAAGAGGTCAACTATCACGCTATATCTACACAGAGGTAGGCAATGAGTACTCACGTCGAATATATCGGGGTCGATATAGTCCGCAATGTTGTGTCCCTCCCAGAACTCCGGGATGGGGTCGTGACGCTCCTCCTCCGGGATCTCGCTGTAGTTCTTCTGCAGATCTGTGCGGAATAACAAACAGGTTTAATATTTATAATATAGATATAGATACTACTACTATTGTATTATTGTATATTTAAAATTCAGGGCAGAAACAGTAAAAAAATTACATATTTCTTACAATCAGACCATACTGTATTTTCAAAAATCAAGGTTTATAAAAATCCTTAGTTTTTCATCAGGCTATAAGTGCCCACTACTGAGCAAAGGCATCTTCTCACATAAAGAAGCTGAGAATTTCACCACACTTGCTGAAGGCGGATTGGCATTTTTTTGAAATCGCCAATTCTCCTTGAGCAAGCGTGGTGTCGATAAGTCCAGGTTTCCTCACGATGTTTACCTTCACCGTATGTCAGTCGTGTCTAAATAAATCATAGAAACTACATATAACTCGGCAAAAGTCAAATTGGTACTTGCCAGAAAGCCAATCTACGAGCCATCATGAGTTACCACAAAATAAATGCTCAAACTTTCTCCGTGTGAGAAGAGGCCTTTGCTCAGGAGTGGGCACTTATAGGCTGATGATGATGATGATGGAATGCTTCAAATTCACTCACCAAGGACATAGTCATCTCCCTCTTCAACTTCAATGTCCCTCTCGAGTTTCCTCTTGCGGGCCTTGTCGGCCTGCTGTTGTTTCTTGGCGAGGACTGAAGGCGGGATGACGGCGGGCCGGGCCTTGTTGTCTCGGGGAGCTGGGACTGCTACGTGAAGACGGTTTAGGATGCCATCGACCTATGGAACGATTTTTTTTTTTGTTATTATAAAAATCGATACTGTATTTTGTTTCTAATATTGAAATAACCGATTTTTACTATATGCCTATCTAAATATATATTGTAAACTAGCTTTGGCCGCCGACTTCACCCGCGTGGTATGTTGATTAAAGGTCTATATGTTAATCTAGTGTCTCACCTATCTACATAAAAACTTTGAACCAAATCGGTGCAGCCGTTTTCGCTAAGATACACAAAAATAACTCTTGTTACAATATTTGTGTGTCTGTCTGTCTGTCCGTGTGTTTGTTCCGGCTAATCTTTGGAATGACTGAACCGATTTTGACCGCACCTTTGTTGATGGGCAGCTGATAACATAGGTGTAACTTAGGCTACTGTGATTTTAGGTCAATTTTTTATTTTTATCTCGAATGACAATAACGGGCGAAGTCGCGGGTATAAGCTAGTTATGTATACATATTGATAGTAAGGGGACTCTACACTCAATGTCAAAAAAACATTTATTTCAATCAAACCTTCTGAAAAATATAACAGTCCATCAGTCCTTCCATCTGTGAAACCAGATTCTTTAAAAAAAATCGTGATCTCCAAATCCTCAAAAGACTGGTAACTTTTTCGTAACTGCTTAGGTGTTACAGATCAGCATGCATGGATTGCTTACCATCAGGTAATCCGTCTGACCGTTTACCGAATTTCACCTTAAAAAAATGTATGTACCTTCTTGGTCCTCATTTTCTCAGTGACTCTGTGTCCCAACAACCTCTCGCATGCCTCTATCTTGACCTCCTGCACGCCTTCCTCCGTTATAGTCGACATACGCATCACTGGCACCACTGATAGATCGGAGTTCGGGTCCGCGCTGTGAAAAAAAAAGTTAAAACATTTTGCGATGATAAAGTTTTTTTTATATCTAAGACGATGTCATACAAAGAATTTCAAAATATCGATGTTGACATACCCGGAATTTCAACAAATCTATATTGATATAGCCAGAATTTCAACATATCGATGTTGACATACCCGGCATTTTAATATGTCGATGTTGAAATTGATTGAATTGATTGAACCCAGAATTTCAACATATCCGGAATTTTGGCATATCGATATTGACGTACCCGAAATTTCAACATATCGGTGTTGACATACCCAGAATTTCAACATATCGATATTGACGTACCCGGAATTATACACGACGATGGTAATATAATCGAAATTTTAACAATACGAAAGAAATCCGGAATTTTACCACTTTATTAATTATATACAAAATAAATTATTTATTTAAATAAATACTCGGAATTACACTATCATCTTGATAGTATTAATGTTTTAAGTACACCCATATTTCATCATATCGATGTTAACATACCCGATTTTTTATAGCACAGTATTACCAATGTATAAAACTTACTTGACAAGATTTCCCTTGGCGCATGTCTCGAGAAGCTGGTCCACGATCTGTTTCTTGTTCGGCGGCAGATCCTCAGGAGTCACGACGTCCATTTTATTGAGAACCACTATCAGTGGCTTGTTACTGAACAGCGGCTTTATACTTTCGAAGAGGGAGATCTGGAAAGCAAGAAATCATCTTTAGCTTTCATCATTCATCATCAGCTCACAGCTGAGACAGATTCTTCTGGTGTTGGATGTCCATGAGCGGCGCTGATTGCTTACCATCAGGTAATCCGTTTGTTCGTTTGCAGACTTATCACATGAACAAACCCTAATGTATGTAACAGCCAAATAGTTGAGTGAGCCATCCAACCGACAGCCTGAAAAACTATTCGATTGACTGAATGGCTAAATTTCTTTTTTTTAGGCTGTTGCAGGCAACAACGAAGGAGTTACGAGTAGATTGCCGACCTTTTGAAGATTAGGGTTTTGGAGATTTAGGGATTGGGAAAGATTTTTTTGTTTAAAACGTTACCCCACTCTAGGATTTCCTTCTGTGTTGTGGGTGCAGTTACAAACATACAATTTCACATAGACATGACACCCAGACCCGGAACAACAATTTGTGGATCATACAAAAAGTTGTTTAGTGCGGGAATCGAACCAGTTGCCCAGCCACCGCACCAACCGTGCAGTCGTAGATTGGATCTTTGACCTCACTCACACGGCGAAACACAACGCTGTGGTTGTTTCACGCCGGTTTTCTGTGAGGCCGTGGTATCACTCCGGTCGAGCCGACCCATTCGTGCCTAAGCTTTAACATAGGACAACAATATTATATAACACATACCTGTTCTTGTATGCTATGGCCGCACTGCTCGGACAGGTCGACGAAGTACAGTATGGCGGCGCGGAGATGGGCCAAAGCGGTCACTGCTTGCATTTCTATAACGTTGCGCTCCTCCAGCGGGTGGTCCAGGATACCCGGCGTGTCTATCACCTACAAATTACCAATTTATTTATAAAGTAGCTACTCTCGCGTGCTTTCTGCTCGGCTCAGGAATTATGGCAATCCGACCAGCAGTTCCAAAGGTTATCCCCTACATACAAACTAAAAAATTTGACCACTTTATAATATTAGTATAAATTATCTAATACCCAATGAACACTTATAGGTTTCGAACCTACACCCTAAAAAGTCTGATAAACGGGCGCCATAAAATTCTTGCCACTGCCACCTTTTCTCTCAAATTGTAGTAATTCTCTAATGTAGATAGACTTATCAGTCAATGACTGTAGTTTCTAGTATTTCACCTTCATAAATAAGTAACTTTCTTAGCTTAAGTTTCTGCCCTGATTGGCCACATGTGTTGTTGTCGGCCATCGCTGAAAATCAGGGCCGCGACACTGTCTCGTATGAGGTCGCTGCATATGCTGAGCGAGGGCCATTTCGCGTGCTTAGACGCATAATTTTTCTTATTTTATATATATTGAGTGTTTTTTCTCTTTATTTTTATTCTCTTGTTTGTTTTGTATCCATTATGCGTGCTAGACGCCAATAAATACTTTTGTTTAATTTTCAAAGCACATAGGTTTTAGTAAAAAGTTTGAATACTACGAACCTGCCATCTCAAATATTTGTAGTCTGTGTGTCCTACGTACAAACTTTTCGTTGTAAACGCGTATGGTTGTACTTCAACATCAGCTCGAGTGATCTGTAAACAAAATACATTATATTAGGTACAGGTATGTATAGGTAGGAATAAGCAGTTCTTCGTTTTTTTATTCATCATAAATCTGTACGTTTTACCAAACATGGAAAAAGTTTAGTATTGAAATCGTTTTTTTTCTCCAGTCCTAGCTATGGCCGTCTGGGATCGAGAGATAATCTCCGGCCACCTAGAACGCGGGTCTGCGGACGGCGATCAAGGGTAGCTCGCCGCCCGATCAAAACCACGGCTTACGGCGTGTAGCCTGGTAATCCGTCTGATCATTTGCTGACCTACACAATAAAAAAATCTCCAACCGATTAAGGACATGGACTTTAAAAAGGCGTTCTTTTGTAGATATGTTGATATTCACTGTCTAGCCTTATTGGCTCTTGATGGCGATCCGAAAAACTAAGTCTACACATACCTTGTTGATAAAACTGGACTTTCCAACGTTGGGGAACCCGCAGATGATGATCGTGCGAGTATAAGGATCGATGGACGGCAGACGAGCCAAGTGCTGGCGGACCTGTATACGAATTTCAACTTGATTACTAAAGTGAAACAGAGCGAAATATCTTGTAGGATACTTTGAGATATTTACAATTAAAATCTTAGTTCTTATTAGTCCTAAGATTCGTTTCCATTCACGGGATCACAGGATCCCGGACCTTTGGAAGGCGTACGAGGAGCCGAAGCCAAGTCGCAGAGGCCCGTTGAACAATTTTAATATAAATGTGATGGGACATCAGCCGGCAATTATCCCTGCATGCACTATGAAAGTGCACCCAAGGACAATCCCCTGTTGATGCAGGACTATTGCAATTTAGTACTAGTCGTAAGATTTAAAAAAATATTTTCAAATTTTATCACTAAAAACATATGAAACACATTTTAAACCTTTAACTTAAAAACACTAGTGTTAAAAGGGAAGTTTTAGTGTAAAAATAGAGTTTGTAGTTATAAAAGGAGTCCATAGCGTAAAAATGAAGTCGGTAGAAGATTTTTTTAGTGTGAAAAGTCGACTTACTATTGTAAAAAGGGGGAGCTTTGTAGTGTAAAAAAGGTAAGTTAGTATTGTGAAAAAGGAGGTCTAATTTAGGCGTAACTACTGAATAATGTAGCTAGCTAACCTGTTCCAAATACGTGAGGTTGGCGGCCTGTCGCTTCATGATAGTGGCCATGCGACCGAGGGCCGCTCTCTTCAGCTGCTTGCATCTGTACAGCGAGTCTCCGTACTTCAGAAGACGCACGTAATCCTTGGCCACACTGTAAACAAAGATCCATAGGTCAGATTTTTTGGGAAGGCTTGGGAAACTAAGATACCTGTGTCATTTCTCTTTGGATGAATGCTTATGGGTTTATCATCAGAATCACTTGATGACCAGTGAGGGCCGGCCCAGAGCAGGAGAAGGAACAGGGGGGGTTTGTAGTCAGTAAGAGTCTGACACTTCCTTCTTCACATTTGATGATTTTCCCCTCACAAAAGAAATACAATACATAAGGAGTTACTAGTGATTGCTTGGAATAGGAAGATAATGGGGCCACCTTTAGGGACCTCAATTACACAGTAAAACACAATGCAATAATTGTTTAAAATACACAATTTGGATTGAATCATATTTTAAAAACATATGGTCCAGTCTTTCTTTCCTCTTTTTTAAAAACGTTGCCCCACACTAGGTTATTCTCCTGTGTCGTGGATACGTTTACAAACATACAATTTCACATACACATCACACCCAGACCCGAAAAAATAATTTGTGGATCACACGAGTTGTTCCGTGCGGGAATCGATTCCGAGACATTTTGCGTGGCAGCCAGTTGTCCAGCCACCGCGCCAACCATTCAATCTGAGGTTTCGAGGGCTTCCAGGTCTTAAGCACAAACATGTATGCATAATATAAAGGATATAATTTCCGGGAGCTGGTTGTCTAACAGGACATATCATTTATTATGTTTTCGGCTTACTCACGTAATAATTTGACGAGATACTCGACTAGTTTCAGGCATGCTATGGGCCCATATTCATGAGCAGCATTCCGCGACACGCGACTCGGCGACTGTCGCGCTAGCATGGCTTGAAACTAGTCGAGTATCTCGTCAAATTATTACGTGAGTAAGCCGAAAACATAATAAATAATTTAGAATGTCTCACGAAAGTTATAATAAGGACATATTATGAAACAATTGCTTCCTAAATCGTAGTGTGAACAGACTTACGTATCGATAAGATGTCTAGCTGTGTTCAGCTGTCCGAGACCAAGCTTGTAGTGATCCTTATCATACAATACATTCATAAGATCTGCGTAGAACGGATGCACATCATCTAGCTTGGGGAATTCCTGTAACAAGAAATTTGTTTTCAATTTATTTGTTTTTTGTCAATTTTCTTCCGGCACAACTTGTGGGAGAGCCATGCTTCGGCACGAATGGGTCGGCTCGAAATAACCAAAGAGTTGTGTTTCGCCATGTGAGTGAGGTTAGCGGAGGCCCAATCCTTCCCCTACCCCAATCCGTTCCTTTTCCCAAAATCTCCAAATCCCTAATCCCCAAAAGGTCGACCTCGTAACTTCTCGCGACGGGTGTCCATGGGCGACGCTGATTGCTTACCACCAGGTAATCCGCCTGCTATTTTGCCGACCTAAAGCAAGAGAAGAAGACTAGAATAAGGATAACAGTAGTGTTCACGCATCAATCGCGTGATCATGTGGACTGGTGTCACCGACGGTTAAGACGCGGGCGCGGGGTAGAAGACCGCCGCGCGATCTGCTCTGCTCTATGAATTTATTAACCAATATATTGTATATGATTTATTGGACCCGGGTACGTCCTTAAACTGCGACCAGACACCGAGGAGTGGGCAGCAGCATTCCATTCATATATCGGTGACCCAACTGCGATCCCCAAGCCGCCTGCCAAGCGTGGGGATTATGGCAACCCCCCCCCCCCCCTTAAGGGGGAGGCCTTTGTCCAGCAGTGGACGTCTTCCGGCTGATGATGATGATGATGACTATATGATTTAGATAAGTAATATTAGGTAATTAACTAAATGTAAACCATCTTCAGACATTATAACATTGTTAAACTTTAGTTAATCGTGTATACTAATAGACCATTAAAACTTGTGTTGCCTTCAAAACAAATGCACATTCACATTCATATTATTGTGTAACAATAAATACAAAGCCATCAAGGCAAAACTATTTGAACCAATAAAATAAAATAAATAAAAGAATTTGACTTATGTTAATTGTTCAATGGTAACTAGAGGATGTAATTCAGGCGAACCAAAGTTGTTTGGATAAATCTTAAAAACTTTATTAAGATAAATATGTGTTTGGCAAGCTCTCTCATATCTTGATTGAAAGAAAGAAAGAGTATTTATTCCACATATGACGGACATGAAAACATATTCAATATGAAAAAAAAATAACAATAGTCATTTAGATATTGAAATCAAAGCAGAGACAGTGACTATACTTTTGGTTGATTATAAATCTCTTTAAATGTTATTAATCTTAATAGATTTAAATCTATTCTTTCTAATAATTATTAATATAAATAATATTCTTTCTAATAAAAAATCTTAATAGATTTATTTATTTTTTTGGACTTCCAACAGAGAAAACACTTTAAATGCCAGACAATATACATAACAAAATATTTTCTTGTGCTTCTCCACTTATAAGAAGCCATTTAAATTGTTACTTCAAACATGTTATTATTTATGCTGTATTCATTTTTTTTATAGTAACAAGGTAATTTAGTTGTTGCCATATATTAAGTACCCATTAACTACAAATTAACTACAAGTAGTATAAGTTACCAAAATGAGCAAGCCTTGAGGCAGAATATATAAGAGTCAAAAGAATGATTGGTAACACCTTATTACATTACAAATCTTATTTCTAAACAAACAAATACATAAATCTATTCTAATATAACTTGCAGTTTTTATCAGATTTTATAAGTCCAATGTAATAAGGAATTAGAGGAAAATACCATGATTCAAATACATATCAGTTTGTTTAAAATTGTGACATATGTTTTTGTTTTACACAAAATCTCATGTTGGACAAAAATATTGCGCAATTTATAAAATATTGAGTAAAATCTCCGAAATTAGATCTGAAGATATACGTAGTATTTTTTAATCATTTTAACATAATTATGTCAAAAATAAAAACATTTATTTTTACCTGAATAATCCTAGAAAGACGGTCGTGGAAGTTCTGTTGAGTAAATTTCACTTTTCGCATATAAAACGCACGAATCCTGGATATTTTATAATGTTTATGCACCACTGTGGGAGTTTTCCTCTGTGTTTTAGACAATATTATGTCTATGAAGTCCTGAAATACAAAAAGTGCGTATTATTGTAAGGTTATTAACACATGATAAAAAGATTTCGTAAAATGTAAACCATTACTAAAAGTAAGATAAATTTAATTTCTTACCTTTGCTGTAGGGACTACAGCGATCTTTTTAAAGTTATATAAACTCATTTTGGTTTATTTTATTACACTTATAAATAAAACAGAGCTCGACATGAGCTCCACACGTAAACACGTGTTTTTAAAAGAAAAACTCAACGAGTGAAATGGCAGTTGTCAATGTCAAAACTTTTTTAATACCAGAAAACGTTTTGTTGACGGCTAAATGTAAAAATATCAGACTATATCCATGAATATTTTATTTATAAATATTATTTAATAGTATTTAATTGCACATTGAAACTAAACAAATTAACAAAATATCAATTTACATTTTTACTGAGAAGGTACGAAACTATATTGAGCCTGTTGAACTTGTATTTGTCTCGAGCACAAAACGTAATTAATATCATAGTTGCCATGTCTGTAAATTATTCTTCATCACTTTATCAGTACCTAAAAATTCTTTGAAAATTATTATAATCAATAAAAAAATAGCGTGGCATAGCGAAGTAACCCACGCTGGCCCATGCATTACTTTAATTCCAATAAAACTGAACATCTTTAATTTTATTTGCTTAAAAATTTGGTAGGAAGGATGATTTTGTTTTTTAATACTAATAAAACTAAAATATATTCGTGTGGTAACACAATTCTTCGTGAAATGTCAAAATTCCAATAGCTAATGGAAAAGGAGGTTATGCTGAAACTGTATTTGTAATTTATTATAATATAATGCCGGTTACTCGATTAGAAGTTTCACAGTAACAAGAAAATACTGAATACAACAATAATTTATGCACCAATATATACAAACCTACGAAAACATTTGATTTATTGTAAGTAAATTATTGCATCATTTTTCATTTGTTTTTGTCATTCTTTCGAAAAAATCTGTAGCTACGTACTAAAGGCTTGTGACAAGAATTATTTCTACCTTATTATCTAATTTCTCCGCCTATCTCTATAACTTTTTATTGCGTATTTCTTTTTAAACGTAAACATATAATCTAACCTCACGCAGAACAATTTGTTCAATACGTAAATAATATATCTCCCTCAATTAAATACCCTTTTCTCACATCGTCGATCCGTATTCATTAGTTAATATATAAATAGTGAGTGGTGTATGTGCATTGCAGGATAAGATTGGAAGAATTAAACAGAAAAAATAATGTACGGAAGGCTTTTCAACCTGCGGACCGGCGTCAACCACCGCCTGGTGCAATGCAGCAACATGTACAGCAGTGGTATTCTCAAAAAGAAAGAAACTGCCCTACGATCTTTACAACCCGGCAAAACAGTCCATGGTTTTGTACTCAATGAAGTACAAGAAATCAAAGAATACAACATGACAGCATATTTCCTAGCCCATGAGAAGACAAAGACAGAATACCTGCATTTAGAAAGAGATGATCCCAATAACGTGTTCTCTGTCGGGTTTCGAACCACTCCGTTGGATTCCATGGGAACTCCTCATATACTTGAACACACAGTTCTATGTGGATCGGAGAAGTATCCGGTCCGAGATCCATTCTTTAAAATGTTGAATAGATCACTGGCTACTTTCATGAATGCGTTAACTGGTCCAGACTACACATTCTATCCCTTCTCATCACAAAACGAGGTTGATTATCAAAATCTGCAGAAGGTATACCTTGATGCAGTTTTTAAACCTAACCTATCCAGGTTAGACTTTTTACAAGAAGGTTGGAGGTTAGAACATACAAATGTAGAAGATAAAAAGTCGGATTTAACTTTCAAAGGTGTTGTGTACAATGAAATGAAAGGTGCTTTCTCAGAAACTAGTTCTTTGTTTGGACAAAAATTCATCAACACCATTCTGCCACAAGGCACATATGGCTATGTTTCTGGCGGTGACCCATTATGCATTCCGCAACTCACACATGACCATTTAAGGAATTTCCACTCTACGTACTACCACCCAAGTAATGCGAGGATTTATTCATATGGAAACTTTCCTCTAGAAGCCAATTTAAAGTTCGTCAATGAAGCTTATTTAGCCCAGTACGCATATTTGGACACAAAACACTCAATAGTAGATAAGCAACCTCGTTGGGAAGCCCCAAAAAGAAGTGAGATAGCCTGCCGTTTTGACCAATATGGTGTCCCAATTGAAAAACAAAATCAAATTGCAATAGGCTATGTGATGTCTGATATCACAAGTATTTATGAGACATTCATGATGATGGCCATGACTGAACTCATGATCATTGGCCCAAATTCAGCTTTCTACAAAAGTCTGATTGAGAAAAATATCTCTGGAGGATACAACTCGCTCACAGGATATGATAATCAAATTAGAGACACATTATTTGTTGTCGGATTACGAGATGTCGAGAAGTCAAAGTTTGAAATGGTAGAATCTATTGTCAATAAAACTCTTCAAGATATTTACGTAAAAGGTTTTGAAAAAGATCACATACAGAGTGTTCTCCATGGATTTGAACTGTCTATCAAACATCAGTCTCCAAAATTCGGGCTCAATTTACTCTTCAATCTAATGCCATTGTGGATCCATAATGGTCCAATCATCAATGCCCTAAAGGTCAACCAGCTCTTAGATCAGCTCAAAACCAACTTGATGGAACCCAAATACGTAAAGGAAGTCATTGAGAAATACTTCCTTAACAACAACCACAAACTAACCATGACAATGGTACCAGATCCAAAGTTCGACGACAGATTTAATACGGCGGAGGGGGCATTATTAAAAGATAAAGTGAAAGCCTTGACTGAACAAGACAGAGAGAAGATATACAATGAAGGCTTAGAGCTCTCTTCTGCTCAGAAGAAAGTACAGAATCTAGATATTCTCCCATGTTTGAAGCTTGAAGATATTCTTCTTACGAAAACTGCACCTCCCCTGCAGCATTCTGTTGCTGCAACCATCCCACTTCAGATGTGCATGGCCAATACCAATGGCGTCACTTATTTCAAGGGAATCGTAGGCACAGATTGCTTGAATGATGAACAGAGGCAACTACTACCCTTCTTCGAATACATAGTCAATAAGTTTGACACGAAAAATTACAACTACAGAGACTTTGATAAGTTCATAAGTAAGTCCACTTCTGGGTTGGGCTTCCTAACTCACATTACAGAACATATAGGTCAACCAGGACAATACGAACAAGGTATTGTAATAAGCAGTCACTGTTTAGATGAGAATTTGCCAAAAATGATGGATATTTGGAGAGAGGTTTTTGCCAAACCGAATTTCAGTAACAGTGAAAGAATGAAAATGCTTTTAACAAACTACTGCTCTGCTTTGAGTAACGGGATTGTAGACAGCGGACACACGTACGCCATGCAAGCCGCGCGGGGATTGGTCACCTCAGTAGACGAGTGCAAAGAGAGTCTAATGGGCCTCCAGCACATAATGAAAATGCAAGAGATATTGAAGAATAAGAAAATTGAAGATATCCAATCCGTAGTCGACGAGATTGGCAGCAGAGTTTTAAAAGGAAACAACTTGAGGGCAGCTTTCCATTACTGTAATACCAACCAGGATATTCAGGCGAATGTCGAGCAATTCTGCAATGAGCTGTGCAAGAATGTCGATAATAAGGAAATGAACAGGATCAACTGGACGGATGCTAAGAAGATGCCGGAGGAGAACCGTGGTGTGCACATTCAAATGAACATTCCTGTGAACTTCTGCGCTAAAGTTATCCCCACGATACCATACACTGACCCGGACTACGCCAAACTTCGCGTGTTGTCCAGGTTCCTAACATCGAAATATTTGCACCCGGTTGTGAGAGAGCAAAACGGAGCGTACGGTGGCGGTGCAATGTTAACTCTAGATGGAGTCTTCAACTTCTATTCGTACAGAGATCCTAATTCAACCGTCACTCTAAACGTATTCGATGAGACAGCACAATGGATGTCTGAAAACACGGATCTTGTTGATGAACAGAATCTCTTTGAAGCGAAATTGTCAATTTTGCAACAAATGGACCAGCCTATCGCGGAATACATGAAGGGCGTTGATCTGTTCCTTTACGGGTTGTCCTACGATATTTGGAAGACTCAAAGAGAAAGAGTTTTAGCTGTGGAAAAGGAAGATTTGATTGAGGTGTGTCAAAAGTATTTGGTCAGGGATAAGTGGAGCGGCAAATGCGTTATTGGCGAAGGTGCCAAAGATCTTAAAGCCGGTAAGGAAGCGTGGGAAATCATAAATGGCCCTCAGCAATAGAATTGCAGCTTTTTAAAGATAAAGTGACAAATGTAGTGATCTCTAGTTGACATCTAGAGTTGTGTTTCGATGATATTTTCGAATGTGAAGACATTATTGTGTGCGGACCTGTGTAAAAGTGGTTCGAAGTTACTGAAGCGTACCAGTACCTATTATCTTGGATAATATCGTTAATTCGTTAGCCATTTGTTTATTTATTACTGAGTATCATGTCGAGACTGTTAATAAATGTTATTTTTAGTTAAAATTGTTTGATTTTTCTCTATATTTTAATACATTGATTGCGACTGCTTGCAGAATAATTGCCATTTTTTGTGGTATAGGTTGGCAAACGAGCAGACGGATTACCTGATGGTAAGCGATCATAGCCGCATATGGACACTCGGCAACAACAAAGCAGAGTGCGTTGCTGGCCTTTTAGGGATAACGGTTTCGGATATTTAAGGATTGGGAAGGGATAGGAGAGGGGGAGGAATTTTTGTAATAACAAAGTGACAAAATATAAGAAATATGGCTTATCCGACACTATAGGTCATGGCTAACAGTAAAACGTAATTTTGAAGTACATTTTGTTTGTAATTCATAGCTGACAATACCTATAAGTTGCATTAGATTCAAAGTATTTTCATGGTTTTGTAAACTTTTTGAGCTACCTGGCATTAGACAGACTGCTAGTTAATTTTTCCTTATTTATAGAAGTATCTGCTTACGAAGTATTCTAGAAATATACCCAACACTGAATCTATTAGGCTGCGTTTTCATTGAGGCGAATCGGAGACGAGCTGTGCCGATTCACTAACCACGTGGCTTGATATCTACATCCTTTCATAAGTGTATGAGAGACATGCTTTGGCACTAATGGGCCTTATTGACCGGAGTGATACCACTGCCTTACAGAAAAACAACGTGAAGCAATATTTACGTTGTGTTTCGCCGTTTGAGTCAGGTTATCGGAGTTCTAATCCCCCCCCCCCTCCTCAGTCTTGAAATCCCCTATCCTTTAATCCCTACTAACTAGTCAGGCCTTTTGCCGACCTATTACAAAAAAGAAACATGATACAGAGAGAGAAGAGATCTTTCCCGCGTCTAAGGTCTCTAAAATCTTGAAATTCATCTGAAGCCAATGTTTCTGAGAATGAGATATGCTATCGCTTTATCGGAGTGAAGTTATCTGTATATGGATTACCTGTTTACTTACAAACTCAGAATACAGAACAAACCAGAAGCCGCGTTCACTCATAATTACATGTCGTCAAATGTGTCCAAAAACGATACGTCAATCCCCCCGCCAGCCGCACTTCCCACCCGCGCGTAGTGTTGCCGACAGTGGAACAATTCCCTGGGTTTGGGGTAATTTTACAACGGGAGGGTAAGATATGGGTAAACTCAACAAAATAGGTAAACTTACGATAAATGCAACAGACTAGTTGTTCACACATTTCACGATTCCTGACTGTGTTAATTTTAGTTACACCTACTATACACAACAAATAAAACAAAGCTTCAATAAGTACAAAGGTTTTATTGCTTTCCCTTTTGCTGGTTTAGTTTAATAATATGGATTGACTTTAGACTCGGAACTAAAGATTAGAAGTCTAGGTACTTACTTTACTTAGTTCCTGAGATTAGCGCAGTCAAGCAAACAAACAAACAAACTCTTCAGCATTATAATTAGTATAGATATATCTTAGTAGGAAATGCTGTTTTCAAACCACCTTTGTCATAAATATATCTCTTCATTACATACATAATTCTATTTAATACATAATTCTCTTCTTCAAAGTGAATTGAGCAAACTATGCTCTGGCTAGATGGTTTCCAAAATTAATCTAACCGTGCCCTTTGTATGATTTTTATTTTTTAGTCGTCAGGGAAACTAATGTGACATAGGCTCCATAATGGACAAAAATATAACCCACAACAAATAAATAAGTGGGTAAAATTTTTACCAAAAATGACAACACTCACAAAATGGCCGCATCATTTTCATAGAAAAATAAATCGATAAAAAAAATTCAATAATTAATTAAATATACTATTGCAGTCGATGCTAGCAGATGAAATGTAATCTTATCCACTTTTTTCGTAATTCCAGCCGCATTTTTACTCGTAGGAATAGCACAAGACGGCATAATGAAATTAAAATTGATACTCGTAAATACGTCACGACATGCCACGTGCCAAAATTGACTGATCGTAGAAATTTCATACTAGTCTAGTTAAGAGTGGTTTTAGTTGCTTCGGTTTGAAGCGCGATGACGCCTTCTGGTTTGTTCTGTATTCTGAGCTTACAAAATAGTATAATAATTACGCGGGCATTTCGGAAAAAACATGAAACGGTTTTAAAAGTTACTATACCTATTTACATGCCAATATATACCGAAAATCTTTTGTTAATAGGTGAAAATGTCGCTACCACCACACTACGAGACCCCTGAAGAATATTTCAAGGAGTGCCTTCAATTCTTTCGAGACTATCAATATTTATTCAGCCATCCTAACACCGATGTACTGATACACAGAATTTTAGAAAAAATCGCAATAAACGATGAAGATATGCAAGTTTTTAATGAGAATTTCGACATAACTGCTGTAGAAGATGATTATTTGGCAAATTTTTTCGTTAACTTAAAAAAAATGCAAGTTTGTTATGAAGACGTTGAAGAGGTTTTGGATGGAGGGGTTAACATGGCGGTTAGTCCTAAGAAAAAACACGAAATAATATATCTGGCGAAAGAAATTGAAGAAATGTGCGAACAGGTTAACTGTGATACTGTGGTGGACTTTGGCTCTGGTTTGGTGAGGATTTTTTTTTGTTTACTTTATGTACGACTAGCTATTCTCGCGCGGTCTCACCTGCTGCTCGGCTATATTTGATCGTAGCGTGATGTTTCGTGCCTATAGCACTCAGGAACATTGTAACTATCTATCAGTGAAAGAATTTTGGCAATCCGGCCAGCGGTTCTGAAGATTACCCCCTAAATACAAACTTACAGACTTACAAATTTTACCTCTTTATAATATTAGTATAGATACTTTAGTATGGGTGAACCTTGTTTTGGCACTAATAGGCCAACTTACCCAATACCCCGTCGTCTCAGAAGACCGGCGTAAACCAATTTACGCTGTGTTAGTCGAGTTACCGGACGTCCCATCCGTTCCCTCCCGTTGTCAATTCCCAAATCTTTAATCTTGAAATATCTAACAACCTCTAAACGGTTGATAACGCCGTCTCTCTGGTATCCATGTTCGGTGCCGATTGCTTACCAACAAGTAATCCGTCTGAGTGTTTCATACCCCATCCCATTATAAAATAAACCTAGTTTATATTTTACCCTACGTATAAAATTGTACTAATGTGTTAAGTACCCAACTTCCCCTCTTTTTCAGGGTTATCTAGATCAATTATTATTTGAAAAAACCAAATACAGAATATTAGGAATTGAATGCAACGACAGCCATTATGTTGGCGCGAAAGTTAGACAGCGGAAGTACCATCCAAACTCCACAGATTATGTAAAGTATATTAAACACACCGTGAAAGAAGATTCTGACGAAAATATCCGAAGATTCGTACAAGAAAAGTTTGAAAATCATAGACAATTTTGTATAACCGGCCTTCATGCTTGTGCTGACCTGACCATAGATGCAATCAATTTATTTCTTAAGATGGATGAGGCAAGAGCTATTGTTATAATGCCATGTTGTTACCATAAAATGGTGGAAAATTGTAATTCATTCAGAAATTTCCCTCTTAGCACCTGCCTCAAAGATATTTTCAGAAAATATAATGGATCTGAATATTTAAAGGTCCCTTTCTTAAGAGTAGCTGCTCAACCGCCTTTCGTCGATGAAAAATTGGAAGATTTAGTTTTTAATTTATTATCTAGGGCAGTATTGCAAGAATATGCATTTAAACGTAAGTATTCAGGAGGTAGTTTGAGTTTTGACAGAATGTTAGAAGAAGGGGAGAGGTGTCTACTTGGATCTCAGAATGTATTCTGAGACTTGGATAAACTATTACAATGATGCTGATGATGAGGTGGTCTTGTGCTTAGCAACGCTAATATAATCTGTTTAGGTGGTTAATTAGTTACAGGTAAACAATCTTGTTATGTCTTTTTATATTAAAGAGGTCGGATTGAATAGGTAGATACCTACAGAAATTATCTAAGTTTAGGTACTTTTTTAGCTGACATAGATTTAGGTAAGTAAATACCTAATTGTAAATTAATAAGTCATGCCGAGATTGTTTCATCATCATCATCATCATCATCAGCGTGATTCCGTCCACTGCTGGACATAGGCCTTCACTATTGCACGCCAGCCTCCCCAATTTACGTTTTGTTAGGTAATTAGCTAAACCGACAGACCAATCCTTACCTAAAAAGTTTAATTTTTACAGAAAACTGCAAATTGAAAAGAAAAAAGCGAAAAGCTGTTAAAACTAAGAACATGCACAATAATTTCGAAATATATCTGCAAGATGCTATTGCAAATGGATTTGATTTGATCAAAAAACAATCTTCAAATGACTCTGATAAAATTGAAAATGCAACGTTTTGTGTGGAAGAAATTATGACAATTTGGAACTCAATGACATCAGTGACGTTTAAAAAGGCGGGAATATTCATTTTACTACAAAATTATTTGCAACCTGTTATCGAGAACTTTGTGCTATATGATAGACTGGTATATTTAAAAGAAAAAGGCGTGAAATATTGTAAATTTAAAAAGATATTGAATGTAAATACATCGCCACGATGTTTAGCTTTATTAGCATATAAGTAAATAAGTGCAAAATTGAGACTGATTATTTATCTTATTTTATACCCCGATTCCTACCAGTCATATCCAACAACTTTAAGTCTACCAATATACAGCAAATATCGTCACTATCTGTAGAATGTGTTCCTTACCTTACTCGTCATGACCATTGGTTTTAAAGGTATTCTATTCCAGTCTCAAATGAATTACCTACCTCCTTTATCTGATACTCAAATGGTCATTTGCGTGCCTAGATCAGTGGCCCCACGAGTGGCCCAATCCCCCACCTCCTTATCTTAAATCTCCTATCCATAAATCCCTAACAACAACCCTCAAGAGGATGGCAACGCACTTGTAGTAACTTCTTTGGTACGAATAAGTATGATGAGTCATGGGTGGCGTCGATTTCCTTAGTTGACAAAGCCTTGTAACTTTTTTTGTCATTGAATAAAACCCTGGAGAGGTCTGGGTGCGACAAAAAATTAAATAAACTACCTCACGTCTTGTATAAGGAGCCCTCCTATTTTGTAATAGGTAATACAAAAAATATTTTAAATTTTGTATAACTCTTTTATTCATCTGAGTTATTGTTAACTTATTTTGCGTATACAATAGACCTACTCAGTAACTATAGAAAGCTGTAAATGGCGCCGAAAAAAAACTTTAAAAGATAACGATTTTTATTTTACAGATAGCTATAGGGGTCAAGTGGTAACTATATATACTGTGCTTAATACATCGTTTCTGTTCTATATAGTCGAAGGCATAAGTAGACCATAGAAAAGTAGACTTAATTCCTCTATGTAGGGACAACACTTACTTAGGTGTTTGTATATTTTTGGTTTATTTAATATCAAACCAAACGCATAGAGTATGTAAACCTTTCAAATGACCAAACGTAAACGTAGTGGTTACATACTCTTTGTATCAATCAAACTGGCAGGCCTGTCAGGTCAGTAGCGTCAAATGTCAAAGTAACCGAAAAACATTGGAGGGTTTTGTGAATTTTGTGTTTGTGATACTAATTATTTTATAATATTTGTGCCGTTAATAATAATCATGGACGAAACTGGATAGGTACACAGTATTTGTACCTTTGTTTGTGTCAATCAAATCTATAATCCATTAAAACTTGACACCGAAAACGTGTTGGGTTCGTAGATAGCACTTAATGCAGAGAAAAAATAAATAATTAGCAATGGATATCACAAAAGACGAGTTCTGCCGTCTATGCGCAGACTTAAAACTCAGCAGCGAGCTCATAAACATATCAATTGACATGGAAAAACGTGAAAATATCAACAAAATGCTTAAAAGATTTAATATAACCTTAAACTTAGACAAAAACCTGCCTAATACTGTATGTTTAACATGTACAAACTCTTTGGAACAAGCTTATGACTTTGTGAGATCCGTAGACCTTGCACAGAAGGCTTTTGACGACTATGTATCTTCTGATGTGGAAAAGGATGATGGTAGTGTTCACCTTGAGTGTCAAGTGTCTGCTAAAGATACAGAGACAATTGAGACCTATACAGTTGAAGATAGTGACATAAGTGAAGAAACAATAGAAGAAGATATAGACAAGAAGACAACAGAAGATCAACCAATGAAAGACACCTCGGAGACTGAAACAGTGAACTCAAAAAGAGGACGGAAGAAATTACTGAAAATGTTAATAAGTTCAAAGTCAATAGATTCTTGGAACACATACAAGTGGTTATGTGCTTATTGCGACAGTTATTACTTTAGTCTAAGCCATTTAAGAGTGCACAGTATGCAGTACCACAATATCTGCAACCCATTCCGCTGCTTCGATTGCAGAGCTAGAGGCTCTCAGATAGACAAGTTTGTCTCCCATGTTTGTAAACATCATCCAAACTTGGCACTCCTCTGTCATATATGTTCCTCAGCATTTAACACAACAGAAGAATTGGAAAAACATAAACTAAAAGTGCATAATTCCAGTAAATTCATTCACATATGTGGTGCCACTTTTGTAACTAGAAAAGAATTAGAAAATCATATTAACAACTTCTACCAGAATGTTGCAATACGCATGGCACCGTACAATGACAATGAAACCTTTATCTGTGTTATTTGTAAGAAGATTCTGAAGTCAAGGGTGCTTTTAGATAGACACTTGATACTCCACACAGACAGAAAACGTACTTCCATGTGCAAGGTGTGCAAAAAGCGCTTTTATACAACTCGAGAACTTAATCGACATGTAGTCATTCATTCAGATAAAAGACCCTTCATGTGTGAAATATGTGGTTTTTCATTTAAAATAAAACAAGCACTTCAAAAACATGTGATGAGACATTTTCAAATAAAACAGTTTGTTTGTGATAAATGTGGCAAGAGCTTCCGGTCAAAGAAGCAACTTATAGGGCACAGCAAGGTACACGATGACACTCGTCCCTTTATCTGCGTACACTGCAACAAATCCTTCCGTTTCAGACATCTGATACTGCAGCATATACGTGTTCACATTGGAGAGAAACCTTACTCTTGTGATTTATGTCCGCAGAAATTTATTAATTGGTCAAATTACAATACACATTCAAAAGATGTGCATGGAGTTGATCGTTGCAAAGAGAAAGCTGCTTCAAACAATGTTACTGTGGATCTTGATGAAAAATTAATAAAGTGGAAGAATGATATTTTGGAACTAAAATAATATTTTACAGCAACCCAAGTGAGATTCAATTGTTCTTAGTAAGAAATTGTAACTGCCTTAGACAAGTTCAGTATCAATAATCGGTATATCTGTAGAAACGAAATACTATATGAGAATTAATTTGATGGCTGCACTTTTTTATGAAATACCTTTAGAAATTTCCATACATTTGTATTGTCTTAAGTGATAATGAATATTATGGATACTTGTAACAATTTTAATAACTTTCATGATATAATTGATTTTGTAGCTGCCTACCAACCTATGTTTTTTATGTTTTGATACATATTTTTAAATGAACATTTTTTGATTAGACACTTTGATAGTTTTTTGTAAATATTGCTTCTTTACATGTTTATAAGCGTTAGTATTGATTTATGCTGAGCATATAAAGTAATTTGAAAGGTGTTCCTACAAAATGAGGGTATTTTGTAGGAACACCTTTCAAATTACTTTTCCCGACTTGGGTGCGGCGAGTGTCGGACTCTTACTGACTAGTTCCTTCTGCTTATCGAGTTTCTTGCTTATTTCTCCATTCGAATCTACACTTTGGTACAAGTACCAACATTTTATAAATTGTATAAGGCGTGTTTTAAGTGGTACTCTGAGGTCGGTAGTGGTGAAGGATTCAAACGTGTTTTATCGGTACGACGATTGTTATCAATTTTAGTGATTATTTTCATAGTGATCTGAATTGAAATCCCGTACATTGTGGGTCAATTAGTTGCTGAACCAAGGCCTGCAGCATCTCCATATCTCGTTGAACCTCTCTATCGTCAATAGCTCCGTCTCAGAGATATGGCTGTTGGCTATTTGGTTGGTAAGTATTAGTTTTGGCTTTGCGAGGTCTACATTCGTCCTGTCGAAAGTCCAACTGGTTGGAATGCCTTTCGTTATTTTTTCGTCTCTGTGACGTACAGCAATTCTCGACACGCACTTGTTTCCGTGTGTGCCGAGAGCGCTCTTTCTCGATCTTATATTTGTGACGGGCTTTAGAGATAGGGCCGTTTCATAGAGGCCCTGCAGGTATTCTTGGGCGACGGCTTTACACTTCCTCTTGATATTACTCGCTGCTTCCAGGGCGTTCTTGCCTTTTTGGAGGAGGGTGTTTGCCACTCTTGTGGCCATGTCCATCTTCACCCCCGTTCCTCTCCTTGGTGTGCGGTAAGGAAAGCTTTTTCTCTCGGGGCATCCTACTTGACCTGGGGAGGATGCCAGTGAGCTCTCCTCATCGGAGATTATGTATTGCGAGGAGGGAAGATTTCTCACTGCTCCCACTGAATGATGGTTTCCGAGACCCTGGCGCGCTCGATGGTTTTGGGTCTCAGTTACCGACGGTGATTTGCGGGAAATGGTGTGGGTTCCGGTGGATGTGTTAGACACGGCTATGACGTCCGGCTCCGATATTACTTTCGGTGATGCTTGTGGTGGCTCTGATGGACACGCCACCTGACGTCACTGACTTGCCCGAGGGACTTTGTATTCTTCAGCGCTGCGTCCGTGGCCGGTTTGCGGGAGTTTGTTGTCTTGGAAGACGTGGTAAGGAAGGAGGTTAACTAATTCAGACTTATGTCAAACGAGTGTTTTTTAATTATACGTAATCTGCGGCCGCTTTCGTGTGCGGAGTCCGACGATGATAGGGGCCTGTGTGGATTTCGGGAATTTCGTTGATACCCAAGTTGGTTTCGGGTGTCGATTTTGGGTCTGAAAGGCGGTGGGGGGGGGGGGGAGCCGTTGATCCTGACAGGTTTAAGCCCATACTCGGGGTGTTTTGGTCAAAGGGAGATGAGGTAAAAATAAGGGGGGAGGGTGAGAAACTTGTTGAGGGGAAGGGAAGGTAGGTATGGAGAGTGGGTTGCCTGGTGTATTTGGCTTCATCCAGGGATTCCAAGAAGAACAAACCAAACTCGGGGCAGGCAGGTTTGGGGGTTGAGGAGTTACCTCAGGGCTTACTTGCTGATGGGTCGTGTAGTCGTTGCGGAGGTGGCTGGTCTGCAGGCGGATTCCAGTAGAGTTGGCGCGTCGCCTTGCCCCGTGATAATTGTCAGTAAAGTCTGAAACTCACTCCTCGCCCATCCAGGGTTTGAAAAATCTCTTGATGTATTCCCCATGACAAATAAAAAGAAATAAAATATTAGTTGTCTACAAATTATAATGACATGAAATGTAATTTTTGTCTTGTACTTATTGTATAACTTACTTTTTATAATTTGACCACTAACCTAACGTAACTTCCTACCAGCCATTTAGATTCTACCGTAGAACTATAATTGAAAGCGTCTAAGTTCTTGACTGAATCTCGAAATTTAAAATTGTTTTTTACCTATTCAATACCGTGTTTCCATCTCATAAGTTTGTTAGAATGTTCGTACAACTTCTTATATTGTATTACTTACTATTTTGTACATTTAATTAAGGAGTTATTATTTTTTATACAGAACCTACAGTTTGTAAGACGAATAATGACTAAAATATGTACAATTTAAAAATATTATCCATCAAAAAACATCAAAGAACATCGAAACACTGTTCACCGCTTGTTGCCAATGTGTCCAATAAAACAGATTACATTGTCTAAAAAATGAATTTTATTTTTAACATCCTCCAAAATAAATCAAATCACTAACTTTTGGTTTGTTAGTAAGGGACTTTTGTCCGATTGACTTGACTGAACTGCATCAGGGGTATACTCGTCTGGGTGTGAGCGCTTAGGTACTGCAATTGTAGTTACCGAAATTATCTCTCTCTATTTCTGAATCTATTTATTTTGCTATAGGCCGGAGTTTGGCCACAATCACGCCTTCCCATCAGCAACAATAAACCCTTCGGGGAACACTGACTCCGGTTAAGAACTCTACTCTTTAGCGATTCTGGTCGTGCAAGCGATGTTCACCTTTTTTGTGTAATACGGATGTAAATAAGCAGACGAGATTACCTGATGGTAAGCAATATATATATGAACACCCGCAACTCGAGAGGAGGTGCAAGTTACTGGCCTGTTGGGGATAAGGGGTTTTTTGGGTTAAAGGGAAGGATGGAACAGAAGGACATGGCCTCCGATAACCTCACTCTCACGGCGAAACTCAACACTTTGGTTGTTTCACAAGTTTCCGATGAAGTAAGTCAAAAGTCGGCCCATTCGTGCCGAAGCATGGCTCTCCCACACTAAGCATGAAGGGGCGAATACCGATTGTCTGGTGCTACAATGCTGAAAGGACTAGGGCGAATCAAGTTGTGCAGTTTCTCCGCAACTTTTCCGAAATATACCAAATCAAACGAAAGGCTTTGCAATTTTACGCTTATATTTCAGTGCTCTTGGCTCGCACCTCAGTATATTCTAGAGTATATAGCTGAGCATAGCCGAGCCACCACGAAGATAAGAGTAGTACCTACTACAAGACCGAACTTGAGTAGATCCGGCAGTAGGTATCTACATTCAGTATGAAACATCACCCTACTCGCGACCCGTTTCTGAACTTCCTACCAGCTAGTTGCGCTTTAGCATAGTATAAAGAGAAGGCTCTTTATACCATGGCTTTAGATTCTACGTGGGAGAAAAAGTTAAGAGCGTCTTTTTTTTACTGAAACTCCAAAATTGAAGTTTTTTGCCTATTTAATACCATGTTTCCATCTCATGTATTTGTTAGAATATTCGCAAATTCCCTAGCGCAAATTATTACAAGAATGCGTGATGACAATGATTTTTGGTTCCTAATTCGTTCGAAACTTTTTATTGCAAACAGTATAGGAGTACGAAAATTTACCAGTGTGGATCATAAGGTAGTCCTTTTTTGTGAATGGAAACCATCAAATGACTTCTCCCGTCCAGGGTAGGTCCAGGAATGCCACTTACTTAATAAACCACCCCGTTCCTTCTGCTTCGGCCGGGGCCGTTGTGCATTACTGCGCTAGCTTGCAACGCAGGCTGGACATAGGCGATGGTAGGCCCCATCTGTCATTGCGTCGCTGTTTTAGAACGCAACCTTTTCCTGCAGATATCTATACTAATATTATAAAGAGGTAAAATTTGTAAGTTTGTATGTAGGGGGTAATCTTTGGAACCGCTGGTCGGATAGCTAAATTTCTTTCACTGATAGATAGAGCTGCGGGTGAAACGGCGCGAGAGTAGCTAGTATACCTAATATAAATACGAAAGTTATGATGTTTGGATGTGTGTTACTCAATCACGCCAAAACGGCTGGACGGAACTGGATGAAATTTGGCACAGGCATAGGATACACTCCGGAATAGGGCATAGGCTACTTTTTATCAATATACCACGCGGGCGAAGCCGCAAGCGGACAACCCCTAATCCCCAAAATATCTATTGAATTTGAAAGGATTATGGAGTATTTTACATTTTACAATTTTTGTGGTTCAAAAATGGTTGTGTTTTCACCGCGTGCGTTCGTGCAGCGGAATGTTGTTGAATTTAAAGATTTTAATTATGCAGATATTTTGTGTATGACGTCGTATAATTGTGTATGGTAAAAAAAATTTGTGCACGCAACCATTGTGGAGAAATTCACCAAAAACTGATTCCGCTGGGCGAACGTTGTCCTGGCGGAACTTTTTTTAATCCATAGAATTTAGAAGAAAAGAGATGTATCCAAAAATTAGTGTGTATTTGTGTGTAATTGTGTATGTATGAATAAAACTAGTGCATGCATAAACTTCGGAGAAATTCAAGTTTCCGCTACGCGAACGTTTGGCCATTAGCTAGTTTTCATATAAAGCGCTTACATAGAGAGCTGTAGATTTTTACATACGTTGTTTTGAATTTGTGTATATTTGTTTAAAAAACAGATTTAGAAAAAATCGTAGGGTTTAAAAGATAAAAATATAAACGTAAAATACGCTTATTAGGTCTTAGTTCTTAAAGTATGCACTTTAAGGTCTAGATTTTCACGTTTATACAAACCTTGTAAGTGTCTGCAACATGTTGCCAAGTATCAATGATGTTCCGTTAGTAATTAAATAAGTAGTTATAGGACAAATTTACCATGAATAGATCACTGTTTACAAAGCAGTCAAATATCATGACGTTCTAAATGAATTGCATGGTAAAATGTATGCCAATAATTAGTGTATTCATTCAACTATTCACATGCAAAATTTCATGTCATTAAATTCAGTAATTAAAGTAAAACAATTATAATACTGACGAAGCATCGAAAACCTACATAACCCGACCAAGTTCGGATGGCTACAAAAAAGCGGCTGTGCAATATATTTAGGTAACATCCCAAAATTTAAGAAACGGCAAAGTATGAAGTTACGATTACGTGGCCCTCCGGTAACTTCACTCACACGGCGAAACACACAACACTGTGGTTGTTTTACGCCAGTTTTCTGTGAGGCCGTAGTATCACTCCGGTCTAGCCGATCCTGAATTTAAATAATCTTTGTATGTATTATAAAACCTCTAGACATACTTAGTTTGTTAACGTTTGGTTACAAAACCACCGATAAACCGTAGCAGGGCTGCTCGCCACTGCTTCGCACGGGTGTCGAATGACCGTAGCTTGATAGATGTCAATAATTTGTTTTGTTCAGGAACCGCCATAGCATGGAACGTGTTGTCCCTTCTACTTTTCTAATCTTTCCTAACCTTTCATAAGATCTGACTTAACCCTAGACGTTGACTAGTGATTCTCTCACCAAGAAAAAGTAATTTGATCATGGCCAAAAAAACATTCACTTATATACTTAAATATATCCGAGCTCGATTCCCACAAACGGTATTTCTTTTTGTGGTATATACTACAACATAAGCTGTTTATTTCTTCAAAAATGAACTTCTTTGAAAATATAACGTTTCGAAAAACAAGAACGAGTTCTTTGAATGATGAGTCGAAAGAAAATAGTATCAATATTTCGACAATAGATGGCAGTACAAGTAGCTTACCAAACATATCAAAGGATGAAAGTTTAGAGGTATGAGGAACAGGGTGGAAAGTTCTTCATCCTCCATTGAAAAGGGAGGATCCTCCGACCAGGCGAGGTGTTCGTGCCTGGTGGGCTACTGCCCGACGGGATATCTGTATGGGTGCTAATTTTGTTTATAACTCTTATAGCGCGATGTATACTCGGAATTTTAATTCCATTCCAGATTTGACAATTTCAGTGTTGCAACGTTATGACACATAATAAATAGTGATGTTGCAAAATTATTCGATGTGGAAATCGAATATTTCCGAATCGATTCCTCTCGTTCATAAATTTACTCTCGTAAACTAAGTTTATCAGGAAATAAAATATTTCTGAACCGATAATTTAGTTTTGACAATAAATTAACGATCTGAGACTTTTCTTTTGTAATTGTGTGTGAAATTAATAATGTAATCATGAAGGAACATGACAAATAAAACAGAAATTTGATAAATTTAATAATTTTCGCCGTCATCGCTATCGGTATCGCTGTTATTTTCTGTGACATTTATTATGAATTGTGTATGTGATTTTTATTGTCAATTAACATATCTAGCTTACTCATTTTTTCCTCTTCTTTGACAACATGGGATACGCATTTAGACTATATGGTAGCCGTAATTTTTTGAATGCCTTCCTGAAACTGATTCATTGATTGTTTATCGATTTTTGTGTTCATCTCTACACTGTTATATGTGGTATCATTATTTCACAAAATGACAGTAGGTCATGTCAAATCAGTAATCGAATTAAAATTCTGACTATAGACTCTAGCTATTGGTGCTGTTGTTTATGTAGTGCGCTAGATGAATGCTTGGAATGCGCGTCGGCTGCATGCTTGTAGTCAGGGAACCCGTTGTAGCCGTGGAAGGTGGCTGACAGTAGACTCGCTGCTTGAAAGCTCGAGGAAGTGATGACGTCATGGCTATGAAGTAGTTGCACGAAGGCTGCGTTGATGTTCATGCTCGGGGTCACCAGTTTAGAGGTATGAGGAACAGGGTGGAAAGTTCTTCATCCTCCATTGAACAGGGAGGATCCTCCGACCAGGCGAGGTGTTCGTGCCTGGTGGGCTACTACCCGACGGTTGTTGTCGGGATATCTGTATGGGTGCTAATTGTGTTGAAAACTCTTATAGCGCGATGTAGACTCTTGCTCGTGATTGGTGCTGTTGTTGATGTAGTGCGCTAGATGTCGCTACACAAGTAATAAATATAGAATACTAATAGGTATAAATAATTAGATATAGATACTACCGTGGATACTACTTACAAAAATATTTGTTTAATGTGATGATTCAGCCAATTTCTTCAAGAGATGCTCACGAACTTTCTGCTTAAAAGTAAATCTACATGGCACCGTCCTGACATAATATAATACATATAACAATAAAAATGAAAAAAAATAAAAGAATATTCAAATCATTTATTTAACACCTAATCTTGTGCTTAATATTCATTTAGTTTATAATAAAATATATGTAATTTAATTTTAATATTGCAATTCTTATTGCAAAGCTGTGCAACTTACCTTAATATTATTGTACAGACTATAACACAAATAATACAATTAACTTTAATAATACTATAAGAACAAAAATAATCAAATTTACAGCGCTTT